TTTAAATCATAATTGGCTTTTGATAATTTCCTAACAAATCTTGAGAGCATGGAAGACACTTTGGGGTTTTAGAGAATCAAAGCCGAAGTTTTTCTGTAAATATGTTTTTATTTCTCTTGGGTATATACCTAGAGGTGGAGCTGCTGGATCATACACCCTGTTTCAAGTTAGGGGAACGGCTAGACTGTTTTCCAAAGTGGCTACACCGTTTTACATTCCTGCCAGCAGTGCATGAGAGTTCTACTTTCTCCACATCCTCACCACCACTTCTTCTTTTCTGCCTTTTTGCCTATAGCCATCCTACTGGATGTGAAACATATCTTGATGTGGTTTTGATTTGCATTTCCCTGTGACTAATGATGATGAGCATCTTCATGTGCTTATTAGCCATCTGTATATCTTCTTTGGAGAAATGTCTGTTCAGATAACCCATTTTTAATTGGGTTATTTGTCTCTTAGTTGAGTTGTAAGAGTTCTTTCTATATTCTTGATATATGATTTGTAAATATTTTCTATCTTTCTGTGAGTTGTATTTTCACTTTATTGATGGTGTCCTTTGATACACCTAAGTTTTAAATTTTGATGAAGTCCAATTTATCTTTTTCTTTTGTAACTTTTTTTTTGCGGGGGGGGGGGAGGGAGTGTCACTTACGCTTTTGACGGTGTATCTAAGAAACCATTGCCTAACCAAGGTCAGGAAGATTTACTCCTATGTTTTCTTCTACAACATAGGGGTAAATAGTTTATAGTTTATCTCTTATATTTAGGTCTATGAATAATTTTCAGTTAATTTTTGTATATGGTGTGAGGTAGGGGTGCAGCTTCATTCTTTTGCACGTAGATACCCAGTTTTTCAGCACCGTTTGTTGAAGACTGTTCTTTCTCCCTATTGATTTGTGTTGGCACCCTCATTGAGAACCAATTGACTATAAATGTGAAGGTTTATTTTTGGACTCTCGGTTCTCTTCCATTGATCTGTCTATCTTTGCTTATGCCAGTACCACACTGTCTTGATCACTGTAGCTTTGCAGAAAGTTTTGAAATCAAGAAGTGTGAGCCTTCCAAATTTGTTGTTCTTTTTCCAGATTGTTTGGCTATTCTGAGCCTTGTGTTTCCATATGAATTTTAGGATCAGGTTGTCCATTTCTGCAGAAAAGAAACAACTGTCATTTTTATAGGTATTGAGCTGAACCTGGAGGTCGGTTTGGGAAGTAAGTCATCCAAGCCAAGAACATGCGACGTTTTCCATTTATTTATTTATTTATCAATCATCTTTATTGAGACATAACTCACATACCATACAATTCACTCCTCTAAAGGGTGTACAAGTCAATGGTTTTTGTTATATTCACAGAGTTGTGCAACCAAGACCATAATCAATTTTAGAATATTTTCATCACCTTAAAAAGAAACCCTATACCCTTTAGTTATCACCACTCTACTCCCCTAATTCCCACTCCACCCCAAACCCAGCACTAAGCAATCACTCATCTACTTTCTGTCTCTATAGATTTGTCTCTTCTGGACATTTCATATAAATGGGGTCATACAATATGTCATCTTTTGTGTTTAGCTTCTTTCACTTAGCATAATGTTTCCAAGGTTCATCCTTTTAGCGTCAGTACTTCATTCCTTTTTATGGCCGAATAATATTTCATATTGGGGATATGTCATATTTTGTTTATCCATCTGTCAGTGGATTGGCATTTGGACTGTTCCCACTTTTTGGCTACTATGAGTAATGCTGCTATGAACATTTGTGAATATTTGCATGGCCCTTTTCAATTCTCTTGTGTGTATACCTAGGAGTGGACCTGCTGGGTCATTTGGTAACTCTATATTTAATCTTATGAGGAACCACCACACTGTTTCTAAAATGGCTGCACTATTTTACATTCCCACCAGCGGTGTGAAGATTCCAATTTCTCCACATCCTCAGCAACACTTACTATTGTCTGACTTTTGATTCTAACCGTCTTAGTGGGTGTGAAGTGGTATCTCATTGTGGTTTCGAGTTGCATTTCCCTGATGACTAATGACGTTGAGAGTCTTTTCATGTGCTTATTGGCTATCTTTGGAGAAATGACTGTTCAGATCTTCACTCATTTTTAATTGGGTTATTTGTCTTGTATGTTGCTGGACTCAGTTTGCTAGTATTTTGTTGAGGATTTTTGCATCCATAGTCTAGCTTTCTTGTGATGTCTTTGTCTGATTTTGGTATCAGGGTAATACTGTCTTCATAGAATGAGTTTGGAATTCTTCTATTTTTTGTAAAAGTTTGTGAAGAATTCGTATTAATTATCCTTTAAATGATTGATAGAAGTCAGTGGTGAAGCCACCTCGGCCTAGGCCTTTCTTTGCGGTATTTTTTAAAATTACTACTTCAATCTCTTCACTTGTTTTAGGTCTATTCAGATTATCTATTTCTTCTTGAGTCAATTTTGGTAGTTTATGTCTTTCTAGGAATTTGTCCATTTCATCCAACTTACTTAGTTTGTTGGCATACAATTATTCATAGTATTCCTTTATAATTCTTTTTATTTCTGGTAAGATCAATAGTAATGTTCCCTCTTTCATTTCTTTCTCTTTTTTTTTTTAAAGATTTTATTTTTTCCTTTTTCTCCCCAAAGCCCCCCAGTACATAGTTGTATATTCTTGGTTGTGGGTCCTTCTAGTTGTGGCATGTGGGACGCTGCCCCAGTGTGGCTTGATGAGCAGTGCCATGTCCGCACCCAGGATTCGAACCAACGAAACACTGGGCTGCCTGCAGCGGAGCACGCGAACTTAACCACTTGGCCACAGGGCCAGCCCCGCTCTTTCATTTCTGACTCTAGTAATTTGAGTCTTCTCTTTTTTTCTTGGTCAATCTGGCTAAACGTCTGCTGCTTTTGTTGATCTTTTCAGAGAACCAGCGGGGTTTTTTTTTTCCCCCTGAGGAAGATTTGCCATGAGCTAAGATCCATGCCAATCTTCCTCTATTTTTTAGTATGTGGGCTGCCAGCACAACACGGCTGCTAACAGAGCATTATAGGCCTGTGCCTGGAGACTGAACCCAGGCCACCAAAGCAGAATGCCCTGAACTTAACCACTAGGCTACCAGGGCTGGCACAAAGAACCAACTTTTAGTTTCGTTGACTTCCTCTATTATTTGTCTATTCTCTATTTCATTAGTTCCACTCTAATCTTTATTGTTTCGTTTTTTTCTACTTCCTTCAGATTTAGTTTGCTCTGCTTTTTCCAGTGTCTTAAGGTCAAAGATTAGGCTATTGATTTGAGATCTTTCTTTTTTGTTAATTTAGTCACTTGTAGCTAAAATTTCTCTCCAAGTGCTGCTTTAACTGTATCCCCTAAGTGTTGGTGTGTTGTGACTTTCATTTGTGATTTCTTCTTTGACCCATTGGCTATTTAGGAGGAAGTTATTTAATTTTCACTTATTTGTGAATTTTCAATAGTTTCTTGTGTTATTGATTTCTAATTTAATTCCATTGTGGCCAGAGTACACATTTTGTATGATTTCAGTCCTTTTTAAATTTATCGAGACTTGTTTTATGGCCTAGCATATGGCCTATCCTGTAGAATATTCTGTGTGTGTTTGAGAAGAATAAGTATTCCATCATTGTTGAGAAGAGTAGTCTATAGATGTCTGTTATGTCTAGTTGGTTTACAGTGTTGTTCACATCTATTTCCTTGCTGATCTTCTGTCTAGTTGTTTTATCCATTATTGAAAGTGGGGTATTGAAGTCTCCAACTGTTCTTGCTACATTGTCTATTTCTCCTTTCAATTCTGTCCGTTTTTGCTCCCTGTATTTTTGGGCTCCATTGTTAGGTGCATACAGGTTTATATGACCATAACTTCCTGATGGATTGACCCTCTTATTATAAAAGTCCCTCTGTGTCTCTAGTAACAATTTTTATCTTAAAGTCTATTTTGTCTGATAGTATAGCCACTCCAGTTCTCTTTTGTTTACTGCTTGCATGGTATATCTTTTTCTATACTTTTCTTTTCAACCTATTTGTGTATTTGAATCTCAAATATGTCTCTTGTAGATACCATGAGATTGGACCATGTTTTCTTATCCATTCTGCTGATCTCTGCCTTTTAACTGAAAGTTTAATCCATTTACATTTAATGTAACTGATAAGAAGGACTTCTGCCATTTCACTATTTGTTATTTTTGTTAGCTGAATGCCTCACTATGCACTAGGCCCTTTATACACATTAACATTTTTTATACCCTTTTTATGATTTAGAAATCTAAAACCTAGAAAGACTGAAGTAAAAGCCCCAGTCAGTGATGGAGCTGAGCTATGAGCCCAGCATTGCACCCGTCAGCTCTTGCCTGGAAGTTTCCTCACTGGTCCTCTGGCTTCCCCCTTTACCCTCCCAGGGCCAGTCTACACATGCAGCCAGAGGGACCCTTTAGAAATGTAAATCTGGGGCCGGCCCATGGCGTAGTGGTTAACTCCAGCATACTCCACTTTGACAGCCCAGGTTCACAAATTTGGATCCTGGGCATGGACCTACACCACTCATCAAGCCACACTGTGACAGCAACCCATGTACAAAATAGAGGAAGATTGGGACAGATGTTAGCTCGGGAATCTTCCTCAAGCAAAAAGAAAAAAAGAGGAAGATTGGCAACAAATGTCAGCTCAGAGTGAATCTTCCTCACCAAAAAAAAGTAAATCCAATCATAATTTCCTTGCTGGTCATCCAGTGGCTCCCACCAAAGGGCATAAGATGCCTCATGATGAGTGACTCCTGTTACTGAATACGTTCAAACAGAGGGTTGCCTCCTACCGACTCTCACCAGCTGAGAGCTCAGAGCACTGTTGACTTTAGTGTCACTTGCTGCCTCTGAGTATGTTCCAGCCTAGGCCTCGGGAGAGCCAAGAGGACTTTTTGAACCAGGGCTGTGACCAGAGAGCTTCTGCACTTTCTTGTCTTCTCTCCCAGCCACACCCAACTTCCTGTTTTCCCCTTCTCTCCCCTTCTTTAGTCCATGAAGATCCTGCAGGATTTGCTCACCGACATTTGTGCGCTTAAGGTCACCACTGAAACCCTCAGGAAGGATGTGGACAGGCTGAAGGACTTGTTTGAAACGGTAGATCCTCCCTCGCATCCTCCAGGATGGCCATGGGGCTCGGAACTCTGGTGGTTGGGGTGACAGGGTAAATCTAGGAAGCCTGATCTTAGTCAAAGAACACAGCCATGAGGGCAAGAGAAGGAGGCTGACATGGCCTAGCCACCAGGTCCCTCCCACTGAACTCTCCGAGGTTTCCACCGTGCTCCTCACCATGCTGTTAGGACATCATTTGTAAGTGACAGAAACCTAGTTCATCCTGGCTTAGGCAAATTAAGAGAATTTGTTGTCTCGTTTACTAAAAAATCCAGGGATGTCTTCAGGTACAGCCAGATCTAGGTGCTCATACCACACCAACCTCTCCCTCTCAGTAATACTTTCCTCTGAGTTGGCTTCATTCTCAAGCAGGTACTCCCCAAGTCTTGGCAACTCTAGGCTTACATTTCGTCAACATAACAGAAAGAGAACACCTCTTCCTCTTCTAGAAAGCTCTGTCCACACTGAAAAGTGGAATAAACTTACCACAGGCATACATTCTAGCTCCCTCTTTAGCCACAAGGGCATCAACCTGGGCATATTCTAACTCCTTACCGTGATGTGGAAGGACATGCAATTCCTGAAGTGTGAGGTCGCAGCTTGTGAGTCAGAGCTGGACTCAGAAGCCAGGTCTCCACAGCCCCAGGCTGCTGTTGTGGTTGAGGTCTTACAACTCACACTCAAATGACATAATCTAATGTATCGTCCCCGAGGCACAGATGAGTGTACACATTTGATTGTCATGGCAACTGTGAGAACTTCAGTCTTCGGCTGGGTAGTTCCCACCTGAGCAGAGAGGGCACTGTCAGGAAGCTATGTCACAAAATGCTAAAAAGGACCATTGGGCGAATCTGTTTGAGAAACACTGCCTCCTCAGCTCACCTCTTGGAGATTCTTTACGTATTTTGCCCACTGAATTCTCTGAGAAGTCTTGCAGTACAGAAACCATTGAACGCTTTGTAAGCGCAGCATTTCCCAAACTTATTTGCCCAGGAAACCCTTTTCCATCCCTTTCCCACTCACTGGGAAACCCTTGCTTGGGAATCTGTTCTTCCTTCCCCATGTCTTAGCCACCCAGAGCTAAGTCCTAGTATTCAAGCTGTGGGAGAAGCAGGGCCAGGACCACCTGCACCCCTGGCTCAGGGGCTCGGCTCATTTGACAGGTACAGCTAGAAAGGATGGATACTCTCTTTGAAGATTTGAAAGGGCAGAACCGGAAGATGAGTGCACTGCAGCGGGAAGTGGTAAGGGCCTCAGCCCCGTCGTCCCTCCCCAGTCCCCTGATCTCCAGGCCCAGGGCTGCAGGGGAGGAGGGGGGAGGAGGAGGAAGCAATCTGGAAAGGCCCATTTATCTGCAAGAGTGGAAGGCAGCATGGACAAGGGAGCCACCCAAGGGCATCACACCCTCTAGGTTCACACCCCTCATTCCCAACCTCCTCCCCACCCCCCAGATTTCTCTGCAGAACAAGATGGCCACCCTCCCCAAAGCCGAGGACTTGGTGCTCTGGAGCAGCCTCCATGAGGCCATGTTCACCCCGGTGAGTGAAGGAGGAAGAGCAGGGGCCACAGCGGAGGGTCGGGGAAGCTGCCACGGCCAGCCCAGGCCTCTTTTCCACAGGAGACTTTTCCACAGGGACCTGCTGCCCCACAGCTGGGGGATTCTGAGCTGTGGCAGATCACGGAGCAGCTCCCAGAGACTGTCCTTCCCCAGACCACTGCGGACCACGATGCTGTCGATCACACCCAAGTCTCAGAGGCCATCCATCACCCCCACTTGTTGGAGGCCGCCTGGCATGATGAGGTCCCAGAGCCACTGCAGGAGGAGGCGTCTCCCCAAGCAGTTCTACCTCCTGGGGACCAGGGGCTGGGTGAGCCTCAGGTGCTCGAGCCCGTGCCTGCACCTGCGCCTGAACCTGAGCCTGAGCCGACTCTGGGGCCAGAGCCGGAGCCCGAGCCCGAGCCCGTGTCTGTGCCGGGGCTGGAGCCCACATCTGCACTGGAGCCCAGTCTGACTCCTGGGTTCACACCTGGGCCCCCCAGACCTGAGCCTGCCCTCAGCCCTCAGCCCACACCCCCAGGATTCTGGCCTATGCCGCCAGGAGGCTGGCCTCCTGCCACAGGCTGGCCCAGGGCTAGCACTTGGCCTTCCTGGGGCTTAGGCTACCCCCAGCCTGGCCCAGGCCCATCAGGCCCTCTGCCTGGACAGGTCCGGGGCTTCAGGGCCCCGGCACCTGCTCCAGAGCTCAGCTTGGCTTGGCCTCGTCCACTGTGGTCCCAGTCTCGCCGGGCAGAGATGCGCCAGCTCCCGACTGTTTCAGAAAATGAGGAAGAATATTACTCCCGCTCCATGAAAGTCCCTCAGGACAGGGCTCCCAGGGGTGAGACCCCCAAGGAAGCACTCTCTAAGAGTCCCCAGTCTGTCCTTCAACGGCTGAAAACCAGCACTTCCCGCGCAGCATCTGCTGCTGCCTCCTATGCAGCTGCTGCCACCGCAGCCGCCAGGGCGGCCGAGGCCGCCGCCAACTTGGTCAAGGATGCCCCTGCCACTAAATTGGCCACTGTGGCAATGACTGTGGCCGCCTCTGGGCCCTTAGGAATCTTTGCAGATGTCCTGGGTGCGGGATCTTCCCGTGGGGCCACAGGCTCTGTGGCCTTCAGCGAGGACAGCGAGATGGAAGACTTGCAGGAGATAGACTACAAGGACTTGCCCCCTCTCCCTCCCGATGCGACCCTGTCCCAGGCCATGCTGGCTGCCAAACAGGCTGTGAACCCTGAAGATAAGAAGAAGGCCGTCAGGTATTCCATGAGCCACATAGCCCAGATGCCCTTTAGACACGACTCCCTGAAAGAAGAGTTTGCCCAGCTGTCATCCAACCTGCAGCAGCAGCTGAGTCATCTAGGTAGGCCTGACTTGGCTCTGGGAAGGGCGGCAAGGGCTCAGGCCCTCCGCGTGACCTCCTTTCCTTCACTGAGCTCCCCCAACAAAATCTACTAGTCTATTCTTTTACAATGAACATACAGTGAGGTCTTATCTTGAGGGGAGAGGGGTGGTTAGAGTCTAAAGTTGGCACTTAAGGAGAAAAGTCGTGTGTCAAAATTACTCTTGAAAATTCCCTTTCAATAGCCCATAAAACACAGTGCTACTGTACAGGGTCGTAGCAAGTCCAGATCAGCCACAGTGGTCAGCGGTATTAAACAGACCCCAGGTGAAGTGGTCACTTTGGGATTAGGAACTTCTTCCAGGCAAACTATGTATCCTTAAAGACTACAGTCACGTTCTGGGCGGCAGTGGCACCTGTAGATTTATCTTCCCATTTTGTATCCATGTTGGGTCTACATTCACTGCAGGGAGTGGAAGGCAAATGGCCTACTTTAGTGGTCCCCAACCTTGAGCTCACCTCAGCATCCCTGGGGGGCTCGGTAATGCACAGACTGCTGGGCCTCACCCCCGGAGTCCCTGACTCGGGTGATCTGAGTGGGGCCCAAGAATTTGCACTTCTAACCCTTTCTGGGTGATGCTGCTGATTCTGATACAGCTGACCCGGGGAACCAACTTTGAGACCCACTGCTCCACTCTTTTTGAATCACTGTCTTGCTTTTTTGCTCTCTGCCAAGTACAATAGTTGAATTAACCTAAGTCAAATCCCAATCGGCAGTGCCCTTCCACAAATCTTGAAAAGGAAAAGTAGAACTTCACGTAGCTAAAAAGAGCCATGTTGATATCAGTGAGTACTGGCACACAGCTAAGATGAGGATAGTAATACATTTAAATTTGAAACATAAAGCCACAATAGCCCAAATTCTACTTCTGACCAGCTGCCATTTTTGTTAAGACAACTGAAGACAGATTGTAAACATATCTTGGCTGTGATTTTTTATACCCTCCTCGCTGTGTCCTGTACGTCACTTTTTGGCCTCTTGTCCAGAACTTGATCTAGGATACGTTTTTTTTATCCCGTCTCCTTTTTGGTTAAATCCCCTTTCTGTCTTGTGGTGGGATAGATAACACATTTCACATACTCTCGTAAATAAGGCAATTCATAGTTTTGCTCAAGGCCATTTCTGGAGGGAAGGAAATCCCAGAGAGTTTTCCCACGGCCTGCACTAATATGGTAACCGCCAGGCTGTTGAACACTTGAAACGAGGCGAGTTCAAGTTCAGATGCGCTCTCAGTGCGAGGTGCAACTGGATATTGAGGACTTAGTACAAAAACAAGAATGTAAATATCTTGGGGCTGGCCCAGTGGCGCAGTGGTTAAGTTCGCACGTTCCACTTCGGCGGCCCGGGGTTTGCCGGTTCGGATCCCGGGTGCAGACGTGGCACCGCTTGGCGAGCCATGCTGTGGCAGTCGTCCCACATATAAAGTGGAGGAAGATGGGCACAGATGTTAGCTCAGGGCCAGTCTTCCTCAGCAAAAAGAGGAGAATTGGCAGCAGATGTTAGCTCAGAGCTAATCTTCCTCAAAAAAAAAAAAGAATGTAAATATCTCATTCATAATTTTTTTGATCACATATTAAGATGATACTATTTTGGATATATTGGGCTAAATAAAATATTTTATTTACATGAATTTCACCTGCTTCTTTTTAGATTTTTTAAAATGTGGCTATTTGAAAATTGTAAATGACCTCAAAGGCCCCCCAGCTCACAGCCTCTCTACTGGAGAGCACCGCCTTAGAGAGCTGCTAACAGAAGCAGGTGGAGCTCTGGCCAAAGCATCTTCCCCCATCCCTGCCCCCAACAGCCACCTCCCCCTTTGCTTTCAGCTAGTGTGGGCCACTCTTCCAAGCTTGGGATGACAGTGGACATGTTGGAAGAAAAGATTGACAACCTCCACAAATCCAGGATGAAGGTCAGTGTCCTGGGCAGGGAGCTTCTGAGAAGATGATGGCTTGAGGCGAGCTAATGGCAGATTCCATGCCCTGGAACCGGAGCGAGTTCCTGCCCTCCCCAGCACAGCGTTTGTCCTGTAGCTGAACGGAGGCCTGGGGGAGTGAGGGGCTGAGAAGGCAGCTGCAGCCCTGTGGAGGAGGATCTTCTCCAGCTGGTGCAGGGGTCCCGGCGGAAGGGAGTAGGGGGTGCAGCTGCCTGGTTCCCCCTCACGAGCATCTTAGGTGGCTTTGAGATGGCAGGTTAGAGACACGCTGCTTTAATACACCCTTTAGGCTCCTTCTCGGCCGTGGCAGCCTCAGAAGCAACGGCCTTAGAGGTCTGTGTCTCCCTCTTTTAGGAGGAGGAACTCGGGAGAGTTTGGGGCCACCAAATAGAGACGATGAAGGATCACCACATCACGCTGGACAAGGCAATAGAGAAGCTGCAGATTCGCCTGGATGAGTTAAAGGTTCAGAGGTCTGGGTGGGCCCAGGATGGGCGGCCGAGGGGAGGATTCCTCATCCGGACATTTGGACTCTCCCCAAAGGCTTCACAGATGCACCGAAGGCAGGGGACCAAGGAACACGTCCCCGTGCATGAATTACACTTCAATTAAAAACAAACAAATCTTGCCCCCCCACCCCCACCCCCACATATCAACAGACGAGCTTGGATGGCGTCCATCTTGTTGACCGCTGGGTCTGCCTCCTCTAGAAGGGTGCCTGGCCTAGAACGAAGGCCCGAAATGTGCTGAATGAAGCAATGAATGAATAAGAGATTTTCTTGCGCCAACTATTACATTAATAACATCTGCCCTAAACCAGCTGGTTTCTGAGTTCTCAGCACTGCAGGGCCTTCTGGGAAGAGCGGAACTGCCGACATGAGAGATGTGAAGATGGATACTGAGCACCTACCAGGGGCTCACCCAACCAGCCGCCACCTCCCCAAGGGGCCTGAAGGGGCCCGCCTCGCTCTGCTGGCCTGATGACCGTGGGCTGATGGGTCCTCAGGACTAATCCAGTCTGTGCCTTGTCCTAGAGCTGTTCCCGACCTTTCGAGAAGGAATCAAGGTCATTCTCAGTAGGAGGAGCTGACCTTCCCCCAGAGCATAAAGAGACAAAATCCCAAACAGAATTTGGTGGGAGGTGGTTTCCATGGAGGCTCGTGAATCCAAGTCAGCGGGCTGTTGGTGGGATGGCTAGGATGTGAGGGGCAAAAGAGGAGGGCGCGTCTCCCTCTTCCAAGATGGTCAGGCAGAGTAATCAGGCTGGGACACACACAGGGCAACCAGGACGTGAAAAAAGCTCCTGAATGGAGAACCAATTCCCTGCCCAAGTGGGGGTGGAAGGGGGGCTCCCGGGCCGTGTGTGGGCGGATGGTGCAGGTCACAGCTCAGACCTTTGTGAGCACCGGGATCAGGAGTCGGCTCCTGGACCCTGCGCCCTGGGTCTGTCACCACTCTTTGGAGAGGTCTGGTCACCATGTCCTAGGGACATATGGGGCCCTTCCTCGAAGGAGACTGGAGCCAGTTCGTTCGGCATGTCTGACGTGTGCCCAGCACCATGCCCCACCCTGCACTGGGGAGGAGGGGTCACAGTATCTGCCTCTAGGTCGCCGTCGCTGGTTGAGAGAAACTCAAGAGGACGAGGCCGACCAAACAGTGCAGGCAGAGCAAGTCAGCCTTTGTCCCGACTGCCCTCCCCCTCCTCGTGCCGACATGAGTTAGTTGCTTATGAAAGTTCACCCTGGAAGGACCTGGAACGGGGCTTGGTATACGACACGTTTCATTAAGTGTTTCTTAAATGAATGTACTGCAAGAGATCAGCAACCCCATCAAGGTTCCCTATAGAGAAATGAGGGAGTGCAGCCATGTCTGCCACAACATCTGGAATAGAGAAGAAAGCCCGCTCTACTGCTTTACCTGGGTGAGCAAAGGTTATAAACGTACCAGGTGGTGCAAGAAGTCCTCGTTCCTTCACTGAGTCATTCGGCCAGTGTTACTGAGCCTCCACCGTGCACCAGGCACCCTTCCAGGGCCTCGTGATACGGCGGTCAACAAGATGGACACCATCCAGGCCCTTCTGTGCTGGGGGCGTGGTGATTTTTGTTGGTTTTTAGTCAAAGTATAATATTTATGCACAGTAAAATGCCCAAATCTTACATATAAGAGCTCAATTAATTTTTGCCTGTTTGTACCCCCACCTCACCACCACCCAGTCAAGATGGAAGCGTTTCTCTCCCCTTAGAGGGCTTCCCACCAAGGACACCCCAGGCAAGTAAGCGCGGACAGAGCTCTTCCCAACTGACTCCATGGGAAACATCATCTGCCCTTTGCAAGTGGGCAAGTCGTCTTTTTTTTTCTTTTTTTCCTAGTTTATCCACTTTCATTTTTAACTCACTGAAATTATCTTTATCAGAATCAATTATTTTTATGCAAATGACTTGATTTTTTTTATCCACATCATACTGTACTGACTGCCGCGGTCTTTTATAAGCCTGAGGCTGCATTCCAAAACCGTTCTTGGAACAAATTATTATAGTCAGAGCTCTGGCTGGTGCAGAAGACTGATAAGATAGCTAATGTGTATTGAATGCTAACTCTCTGCCAGGACGTTATAGATTCCATTCCCAGGCTTCTCAACATCTTTGGGAAAGGCATGGGATTGATGCCATTTCAAAGAGGAGGAAACAGATTCAGGCAAAGAAACCAGCTGAGTTTACCCCGCTGGGAGGCGGCCTGGTGTTGTGGCTCAGAGCACTGGCTTTGGGTTAGATAGGCCTGCTTTTGAATCCTGATTCTGCCACTTATTGGGTGTATCAGTTTCCTGTGGCTGCTGTAACAATTGACCACAAACGTTTGGCTTAGAACAGTAGACATGTATTCTCTCGCAGGATGCATCGTTCCAGTCTCTGCCTCTCTTGTCACGTGGCCTCTTCTCTGTGTGTGTGTCTGTGTCTTCACAGGACCTCTTTATAAGGCCACCAGTTATTAGATTTAAGGCCTGCCCTAATCCAGTATGACCTCATCTTAACGTAACTAATTACATCGGCAAAGACCCTATTTCCAAATAAGGACATATGTACAGGTTCTGGGAGGGCATGAATTTAATTAGAATTAGATTCAACTCCAAATAACAGACTTAAACAAGGTATGAGTGTATTTCCCTTTCATATTCAAGAGACCAGGAATGGTTGGTCCAGAGCTGATGTAGAACTCCATGGTGTGTGACTTCCATTCACAAGGTCACCTCAAGGTCCAGGATGGCTGCTGGTGCTCCAGTCATTAACTCTGCATTCAAACCAGCAGCCAAGAGGACACCTACCCACTTCTGTTCACGCTCCAGTGGTCACCGAGCTATGAGAGAAGCTGTGAAATGTAGTCATGATTCTGGGTGGCCAGATGCCAGCTAGAAGCTGGGGGTCCTGTTCCCAAGGGTGAGAGAGAGACCAGATATGAAGGGAGGAGTAGAAGCCTGTTTCCAGCTTTGGAGGAAAAGTGACCCCACCTTCTTGGGACATGGCCTAGTGATTGTGAGGCTCTTGCAGAGCGGGTTAGCTGCTGCTGCTGCTGTCATAGGGAGGGTCCAGTGAGTGGAGGGAAGGCACAATTAATGGAAGGAGTTGGATCTTCGTGAAGTTATGGGGATGGGAAATAGGGTTTTCCCCCAACACAGGGGCACAGTGTGTGTGGCATATAAGTACTTGATTGGTGAATAGACTGCATTTCTTACTGGGACCCCAATACAGATCCGAAGAGATGAACTTGCCTTAAGCATCCAGGGAGCCAAAGTGTCAGCATTGGTTTGTGCTTTCCTTCCTCAGGGCTGCCCGCCTGTGCAGTCCATTTCCTATGATGCCAGCTCCAAGGGGACAGCTTGTCCCGAGTCCCATATTCCTCCTCTTCTGATCTGGGCACCTGGGGCCCTAGAACCCAAGCCTTCCAATGTGCCCACCCTACCTGCTGTCCACTTTGCCCCATTGTCCCTTCCTAGCACTCCACAGGGGTGGACATGGGAGGTAGATGTCCTCAGGGCTTCCAAGGATGGCTGACATGCCCTTTGCTTCTGTTCTTAGATTATCCAGGCTCAAATAAAAAACCTAGAAATGAAAAAGGCAGACAAAAGTGTGATGGAGCAGGAGTTGAAAGAGGTGAGTGAGCAGAGAGTCCTTCCCCACCCTGGCTTCCTGCCCTGAGCACCAGCTCTCCAACCCAGGGAAATGGGATCATCCAGCCAAGACAAAACCAGGCAGAGAGACCTCCAGAGTTTCCTTCCACCTTCATTATATAGAAAGACTGGGGAAGCTTCTCCAAAGTTGTTTCGTCAGCTCCTGTTTTCAGTGACTCAGGATTAGTGACAATTTGTTGTGTAAACTTAAACATCATGCGCTAACTTCTCCATCACAGGAAAACCTTGGCTTAGGTCCGATGGTTGGGTTGGAGCCAACATAGACCCCAAGGTTGAATTTAAGCCAAGGCTAGATGTCCAGGGTCCCAAACTAGAAAAAATGGACCAAAGTGATCTCCCCCAGCTTTCTCCTGCTCCCACCCCAGCAGCCTTGCCTCCCTGAGTCCCCTCTCTTTCTAGAAAGCTGAAAAGAGTGCCCTGGCAGGCAAGGCAAGCCGGATTGACCTGGAGACGATGGTGCTGGAGCTGAATGAGATGATTCAAGGCATGTTACTCAGGATTGTGACCCACGAGGATGACTGGAAGAAGGTTTTAGAGCAGCTGAGTAAGGACCTGAGCACCAAAGTGAGTACCTTGTATTATTTAATTTTGCATAACAAATTACCCCAAAATTTAGCAGCTTAAAACCGTTTCTGAGGGTCAAGAATTTGGGAGCAGTTTAGCAGGGTGGCTCAGGGTCTCCCGTGAGGTCACAGTCAAAGTGTCATCTGGGGCTGCAGTCATCTGAAGGCTTGACTGGGGCTGGAGGATCCACTTCCAAGATGGCGCCCTCATATGACTGTTGGCAAGACTCCTCACTTTCTCATCACATGGACTCCTCTTTAGGGCTGCTCCAGTGGCTTCGCAACATGGCAACTGACTTCCCCCAAAGCGAGTGATCCGAGAGAGCAAGACAGAAGCTGCAATGGCTTCTATGACTTAGCCACAGAAGTCACACCCCATTATTTCTGTAATATCTTCTGTAATGACCTGCTTACGCAAGTCAGCCCTATTCAGTGTGAGAGGGGCCTACACAAGTGTGTGAATACCAAGAGGTGTAGTTAGGGAGCATCTTGGAAGCTGACCACCATAACTCTCCTTTCTGGGCAAGCTAAGGAACATAGTGGGGTAGGAGTGGGGTCAGCTGGTCATTCATTTATTCATTCGTCATTTACTAACCGCCTGTGATGAGCCAGACCCTGGGGATATGTTGATAAGGAGTCATAGCCCCTGCCTCAATTTGTACCGTCCAGCAGACAGACAGGAACAGTCAGATCAACAATTACAGTGCTGTGTGGTTCCTGTGGCTAGGGTGGCTGGGATGGCCACAAGAGCTTGGGTTTACAATCAGACAGCTCTGGGTTTGAGCCCAGCTCCACCATGAGCAGCAGCATGCCCCGAGTTAGATAACCTCTCCGAGCCTCAGTTTTGTTTTCCGTGAAACAAGGATTTATTCATTCATCAGCTGAGCACTGGGCGCCTCCGATGCTGGTCACTGGGGATGTAATGATGAGCAAAACAGATAGGGGACGTGTTTCTCCTGGGGACAGATCAGTCGTGAAAACCGCACAAGTCAATGTAAAATCACAGCTATCTACAGAACAACTGATCTGTTTTTCTTCAATAATTCAGTGAAAAAAAGTGGGAACAGAGAGATGGTTCCAGATTCAAAGGGTCTCAAGAGATGGAACAACCAAATGCAACACATCAGGAGATTTTACTTGTATGCTGGTTCAATTGCACCAACTCTAAAAATGGGTTGAATTAGATCAAAGTCAGGAATCAGTGTTCATTGTGTTAGATGTGATAACGGTGTTGTGGTCATGTAAGAAGATGTCCTCCTAATTACTAAAATATTTATGAGTGAAATGTCATGATTTCTGCAACTTTAGAAAAAATACTCCATCAAAAAATATGGCAGGGGCTGGCCTGGTGGTGCAGCGGTTAAGTTTGCACGTTCCGCTTTGGCAGCCTGGGGTCCACTGGTTCGCATCCTGGGTGCGGACATGGCACCGCTTGGCAAGCCATGCTGTGGCAGGCCTCCCACATATAAAGTAGAGGAAGATGGGCACGGAGGTTCGCTCAGGGCCAGTCTTCCTCAGCAAAAAGAGGAGGATTGGCAGCAGATGTTAGCTCAGGGCTAATCTTCCTCAAAAAAAAAAATGTGTATGGCAGATATGGCAACATGTTACTAATAACTAAATTTCGATGGTGAATATATGAGGTTAATGATTCTAGTTTTCACTTCTCTATGTGTTTGAATTTTCTCCTAATAGAAGTTTTTAAAATTATTGTTGTTGTTTTAAGTGATCCTTACTCATTGCTTGTCTTTTCTCTCTATATTTTTAATTGTGGTAAAATTCATACAACATAAAATTAACCATTAACCCTTTTAAAGTGACTAATTCCATGGCATTTAGTACATTCACACTGTTGTGCAAGCACCACCGCTATCTAGTCCTAAGACATTTCCATCACCCCAAAAGGAAACCCTGTACCCATTAAGCACTCACTCTCCATTCTTCCCTCCCACGCAGCCCCTGGAAACCACTAGTCTACCTTCTGTCTCTATGGATCTGCCTCTGCTGGATGTTTCACATGAAAGAATCATACAGTGTGTGACCTTTTGTAACTAGCTTCTTGCAGTTATCATAATGTTTTGAAAGTTCATCCATGTTGTAGCACGAATCAGTGCTTCATCCTTTTTATGGCTGAAGAATATTCCATCAAATGGGTAGACCATGTTTTGCTTGTTCGTTCATCTGTTGATGGACACTTGGGTTGTTTCCACCTTTGACTGTTGTGAATAGTGCTGCTAGGAACATTCATGTACGAGTTTTTGTTTGGACACCTGTTTTCGGTTCTTTTTTTTTTAAAGTCCACAGTAATTTATTAATTTTTTTAAAGATTTTATTTTTCCTTTTTCTCCCCAAAGCCCCCTGGTACATAGTTGTGGGTCTTTCTAGTTGTGGCATGTGGGACGCCACCTCAGCGTGGCCTGATGAGCGGTACCACGTCTGCGCCCAGGATCTGAACCAGTGAAACCCTGGGCCGCCGAAGTGGAGCGCGCAAACTTAACCACTCGGCCCCGGGGCCCGCCCCTGTTTTCAGTTCTTTTGGGTAGATACCCAGGAATGGAATTACTGAGTCGTATGGTAACTCTATGTTTAACTTTTTGTAGGGGGGACATCTGCAATTAACTCTCAAATGGTTCAGAAAACAAATACACATATGTATATGTAGATAAAGAAAACATGACAAAATGTTAAAAATTGGTGAATTTAAGTGGATTTATGAGTGCCCTTTAGACTATTTTGGCAACTTTTCTGTAGATTTAAAAGTTTTTGAAATGGAAAGTTGGGGAAAAGAATCTTCTTGGGATGCCGTGTGCTTCCTGTAGCATTGGGTCAGCAGATGGTCATGCTGGTGGGTGGTTCCTTCAACGTTGAAGCACAGACTCATCAGGGCCCCAGGGGTGCTAGCCCAATACCGCCAGCATAAAGGATATTCTCCCCTCATAAGCAGCAAGTAATTTGGGGGTGACTTTTTGCCGTCCCGGGAATGTCCACTGCCTCACTAGCCATTCTCCTAGCAGTTTTCTCATAAATTGAGGATTGTTGCCTGAACCAGTTATTTCATTAAGGGTTACAAGATGGCAATTTTTCTAATTCTAGCATTGCTGCTACACTTATCAGCTTGAAATTTGTAAAGAAGAGGTTTCCCTCATTGACTTCAGCTGATTATCCTGAAATAAGGTTCCTGCAGGAAAGATAGGAACAATAATGAATTATTTCCTTTAACGACTAGTTAAAATATTGGTGCAATAGCCACTTCCAATACAAGGTGGCAAATGAGGGTTTCTATTTTTATTTTTTAATTTCTTTTTCATGAGTGTCATATGAATCGTGGATTTCTATATATTGTTTGTTCATTCAATTAAGTTACTGTTTCTCTTGTCGCTCACATGGTCTTATCTTTGGCCTGTGAACGGGCTTCTGAGCCCTTTGACTAGACCCTCTGTCTCAGAGAGCTGTCTTGTTTCCTTAAATGATAAGATGTTCCAGGCTCATCTTTTTTTTTTTTTTTTTTCCCTGAGGAAGATTCACCCTGAACTAACATCGTCCCAGTCTTCCTCTATTTTGCATGTGGGTCACTGCCACAACATGACTGACAGTGGTAGGTCCACGCCCAGGATCCAAACTCATGAACTCAGGCTGCTGAAGTGGAGTGTGCAGAACTCAACCATTAGGCCATGGGGTCAGCCCCAGGCTCATCTTTAACATTCCCTTCCTCAGACCTGCATCGGCCATTTGTCTACGGAGTCTTGGTTCCTTTTAATGGGGAATGTTGTTTAAAGATCAAAATCTGGGCACTGGAAGAAACACTTTAAAAATTACAAACTCCCACTGTGGAAAACAGTCTGGCAGTTTCTCAAAAAGTTAGGCATAGAGTTGCCATAAGACCCAGCACTTCCACCCCCAGGTCTATACCCACGAGAAATGAAAACAGGTCCGCACAAAAACTTGCCCACAAGTGTTCACGACAGCATTCTTCCTAATAGCCAAAAAGTAGAAATAATGCAAATGCCCATTAACAGATGAACGGATGAACAAAATGTGATCCATCCATACAGCAGAATATTCAGCCATAAAAAGCGATGAAACACTGACACATGCTGCAACGTGGATGAAGTTTGGAAACATTATGCTCGGTGAAAGAAGCCAGAGCCAGACGCAGAAGGCCACAGATTGTGCGATTCCATTTTTTCTATGAAATATCCAGAATAGGCAAATCCATAGAAACAGAAAGTAAATTAGTGGTTGCCTACACCTGGGAGTTTGGGGAGAAATGAGGGGTGACTGCTTATGGGTACAAGGTTTCTTTTGGGGTGATGAAAATGTTCCAAAATTGATTGTGGTGATGGTTGCACAACTCTGTGAATATACTAAAAACCATTGAATGTATACTTTACACTCAATAAATGTGTTGAATGGGTCAATGTCAGGTGTCTTGGGACCATTGGGTGAAATGTTTTTCAGACCTGCAGGCCTGCAGTCGAGCAGTAGGGCTGGTTTTCTCTTTTGGAGGCAATAACTAACAGTGTTTCTTTGCCTTGGCTGCCGGGAAGCTCACTTTGCAGCTCCTCTCTAGCAATAACATGCATTCAGGGTATGAACCCTAACCCAAGCTTTGTCATTTTCCCTTTCCTTCACCAACTCACTATTTTAGTTTAATCTTGTTATAGTGTATGTAACTTTGCAGGTTGCTGCACGTCCTTTTCTGGAGTGAGGCAGGGTATGAATTGACTAAACACTCTTTTCTTCCCTTTGGCTGTTTGCAGCTGGTCCACAGTGATTTGGACGATCTGAAGAAAGACATGAATGAGGTCTGGAAGGTAGTCAGGAAGCTGCTGATTGAAGGCCTCCGATTTGACCCCGACAGTGCTGCCGGCTTTAGGAAGTGAGCCCCTCCTGGGCTGGGGTGCAGCTCCCAGAGAGGAAACAAGAGGGGTATCCCAGTGGATTCCAGGAGGAGGGATTCCAGACCTCTGGACCTGGGGCGAGGGGGCTGTTGGGATGGGGCTGAAGCACCCAGGGGCTCAGAAGTGGGCAGCTCTGGCCTTGGCTGGCAGAGGGGGCTCCAGGAGCACATCTGCTCCAAAGCCTGGTTGCCACAAATGAGGAAACCGAGGCTCAGAGAGGGAAGGGGCCATGCAAGGCCACATGGGGAGCCTGGGTGTGTTGGGGACCAGAGCCAGGGCCCCCACCCCATCCAGACAGAGCCCCAGGCAGAGGGACTCAGCGTTCCTGGGGGACTCCTGTCCTCAGATCACCCCTCATGCCCCCAAATGGCCACCAGGAAGAGTAGCTTTCCTGAAGGCCCCTGGTTTTAAAGCCCTCCATTGTGTTTGGGGAGAGATAAACTCCACACACTTTTATCCCGCTCCTCTGCCCCATGCGGTCACAGGGGGGTCGGCAGGGGCCAGCAGAGCTGAGCTGAGCAGGGCCAGGCCAGTGGGAGTAGGATGTGTGTGGAAGTCCTGCCCTGAGAAAGAGACGGACCTGCAGCCTCCCCCAAGCACTGCCCAGGAAAGGGGCAGCCCCACAGGGCCTGGCCGGTGCCGAGACTGACGCAGCTGGGTGTCTTCCAGGAAACTGTTTGAGCGAGTGAAATGCATCTCCTGCGACCGGCCTGTGGAGATGATGACCGGCCCGTGAGTACCGCCGCCAGGGGGCGCCCGTGCCCGCCTCTCCCTTCTGGATCCCCCTGACGCCCCTAACCCTAGAGCCTGTGGGGTTCTAGAGACATCATTTGTATGCACATCCGTGTGCATCATTCTGTACATATCATTTCATTTGCTCTCTGTCGCGGGTGGGGGCACTGGCATCCTATCCTTCACCAGCCCTGTCTGTTGCCCAGTGTGTCCCAGGGATGGGGTCAACTCCAAAAGAAAAAGGATGGAAAGAAACTGTGGAGAAAAGCAGAACTTTGTGAGACTTCCTTGCACGTATTTTTATAGGCTAATACTTTTATTTATTTATTGAGGTGAAATTCACATAACATAAAATTAACCATTTTAAAGTGAACAGTTCAGTGGCATTTAGTACATTCACATTAATGTGCAATTGTCACCTCTAATTCCAAAACATTTTCATTTCCCCAAAAAGAAACCCCAGTCCCACTAAGCAGTTGCTCCCATTGCTCGCTCCCCACAGCCCCAACAACCACTCATCCACTTCCTGTCTCTATGGATTTGCCTGTTCTGGACATTTCATAGAAATAGAATCCTACAATATGTGCTCTTTCGTGTCTGGCTTCTTTCAGTGTGCATCATGTTTTCGAGGTTTGTCCACACTGTAGCATGTGTCAGTGCTTCGTTCCTTTTTATGGCTGGATTATATCCCACTGCACGGACAGACTGCAATTGTTTATCCATTTGTAGAGTGAAAGATGTTGGATTGTTTCCACCTGTTGGCTGTTGTGAATAATGCTGCTATGAACATGCATGTACATATATTTGTTTGAACACCTGTTTTCAATTCTTTTGAGTATAAACCTAAGAGTGGAAATGATACTCTGATATGGTTGAAGAGCCAGCATTGCAGAGCCCACGGCCTCTGTGGGGCTAGCCTGGCCCTGCTGCCCCGTGAAGCTCGCCACCCCACTCCGGGCCATGTCCAGGGAGGGGCTGTGGAGCTATATCCAGAATGTTTCTTTCAAACCACAGATATCCAGTTGCAGCGTTATTTATAATATCAAAAAAAGAAGAAGGAGAAAGGAAACCACCTGAGGTGGTAAATTAGTAAACACGTTCACATCAGCCGATGTAAGTCACGCTGTAGACAACACCACGCAGTAGAACCTCCTGAGAGATGTAAACGGCCGACAGCTGTGCCGTCCAGCGCAGCAGCCCTCGGCCACGTGGCTGTCGCGCACTTGACATGTAGCCAATGCAACTGAGAAACGGAATTTTAAATGTTATTTAAATTTAATTTAAATATAAACTTAGGTAGTCACAAGTGGCCAGTGGCTGCCAAGTTGGATGGCACAATCGCAGGAGATTATTTATTGACTTGGGAAAATGATGGCAATAACTTAAATGGGAAAGTCAAGTAGTATGTGTGTTATGATCCCATTTTTGTTAAAAATAATATGCAAACAGAGAAGAATACTGGAAGGACACATATCAAAATATTTGTCACGTGCTTACAGGGCTTTTCTTGTTTGTCTACTTGTGCTTTTCTATACTTTCTAAAATGCTGACGATCCGTATGTATTACTTTAAAATTTTATCGTGGCTTAAATACATACAGGAAAGTACGTAAATGTTTATTGTACAGCTTGATGAGTTTTTGCACGTGTGCACACCTTTGTGACCACCACTCAGATCAAGTCGTGGAACGGTTCCAGCTCCTCAGGAGGATGACGTTTTACTTTATTTTTTTACCGAGGTAAAATACACATGACATAAATTACCCATTTTAAAGTGAACAGTTCAGTGGCATCCAGTACATTGACAGCATTGTGCAGCCACTACCTCTGTCTAGTGCCAGACACTTCCATCACCCCAGAAGGAACCCCTGTGCCCATCAGCGTCACTCCCATTCCCCCTCCCCCAGCCACTGGCAGCCACCAATCTGCGTCCTGTGTCTAGGATTTACCTATTCTGGTTTTCACTGTTATAGTCAGAACAGTTGTTCTTTGTGACTTACGAGGATCATCTGGACCTCCCTAGAGCCCTCGCATGGCAGCCCCGCACCGTGGATGTTTCTGGAGAGGAGGCCATGTTTGAGGGCTGGCTTCCTGGAGGAGGTGGGAGCCTGGGGCCCTCCGCTGGCCGCTGCACCTCCCTCTTAGCTCTTGTCCTCCAACAGGCAACTCGTCACCATCCGCAAAGCCCACCTGCTGTCGCGGCTGCGGCCGGCCAGCGCCACCAGCTATGAGTACCTGCAGCGGCAGCAGATGAGGTGAGCAGGCTGGAGTCTGCCCCAGGGAGGTCACGCAGGAGCCCGGGAGCCCTGGAGAGACATATCCCCCAGTCCCAGGGCATCGCTAGCCATCTGCCAGGGAGATGTTCAGGGAGGTGTCTGGGGCAGCAGACGGGCACGTGAGATGATCATGGGGAGAGGAACGCACATATTCATTGGGCATCTATTATGGGCCAAGGAGTGCTAGTGGAGGGTTTCTCATTTACACCTCACAACCCACTGTGAGTTCGGATTGATAGCCCGTTCCCGCTGGAGGAGATAAGTAAAGACCGTGGTCCTCAGTGAGGCTGGCGGTGGCCGGGCACGCACTGCGCTGAGCACTTGGACACATCTGACCTTGTGGAATCCTTACACCTTCCCTTCAAGGTGTATTCTGTTATCATCCCATTTCACAGTTGAAGAAACTGAGGCTCAGAGAGCTTAAGCAACCTGCCCAAGGTCACAGCTAGTAAATGGCATAGCTGGTGCCTAAACCCTCAGGTTTCACACCAGCTGGCTCCCTGGGTCCCACCTCCACCCTTCAACCTCTTGACATCTCGTGGCTTCATGGGTGCTTCCCGCACCCAGGCCTGTGGGTACATCTGGCCAGGTAGGGGAACAACAGCTGAGCAGTAACCACAGCCACACACAGGGGAGGGGCATGGGGACCTGTGCCAGACGCCCCACCTTCCCCTGCCTGACTCCTCCTTGAGATCCAGAGGTTAAGAACACGTGCTGGGCAGGCCAGACCAGGGCTCTAGGGCTGGCTGGGGTCTGGGGGAACAGAGGCCTCAATTTTTTCCCTCTGCCCCAACTGTGCCTGTCTGTATCCACCCACCAGGCCCCAGGCCTGCCTGGCTATGACACCCAAACTCAAGCTGGAAGAAATTCCAGTCTTTCCTCGCTACCAGCCAAGCCTGGGCCCATCCTGAGGCTCCTCTGGGGCAGAGGGGTCTCGAGGTGGCTGCTGACCACCCCCCCGCCCTGCCCCAGGGAACAGCAGCGGCTGCAGCAGCTCCAAGACCTTGGAGACCAGGAAGGGAGCCTGGACTCGCTGGCCCCCCTGCAGGACTGGGGTGATGGCCCCAGAAACGACGCCGGCCTCAAGTTTAAGTCATATGAGTTGTCGACGCTCTACCCCTACGGGGACCCCGAGCTGTTGGACTATGACACTGTGAGTCTGGCCACCCCAGGGAGGCTGTGCTCTGTCTGCTGGGCCTCGTGTGCCCTAGAAAGGCTCGAGGACAGTCCCTGACCCAGGCCCGGGCTGTCCAACAGGCTGAGGTGGACATCCTGGGAGTGGACGGGATTCTGTACAAGGGCCGAATGAGCAGCCAGGTCGGGGCGCGGCCTGTGAGCAGCGTGGTGAAGGAGCTGGCAGGTGAGGGCATCAAGCCTTCCTGGGCATCCCTACCCTGGGTGTCCTGGATTTGCTGTGTAGTGCGAGGAGATGCCCGCGGGGCCCAGAGCCAGCATCATCGCTGATTCTGGTTGGGGGGTCCTCACACAGCCACTTGCAAAAATGGGATCCTACTATAGGCCAGGTGCTGCACCAGGAGAGTGTGTGACAAAGGCTGCTGGCCTGGGGAGGACCAGATGGCCTCCCCAAAGAAGGGATGCTGAGCTGGTGATGGGAGAGTTGTGACAAGGGATGCTGGTCCAAGGAGAGGGACCGGATGCCGCCCTGAGGCCTCTGAAGAGGGAATAAGGGGTTAGCTGGATGAAGGGGTCAGGTGGGAGGAGAGCGGTCCAGGTGGAGGGAATAGCAGGTGCCGAGTCCCTGTGGTGGGAGGAAGCCAGGCACAGTGAGGGACTCAGGAAGGGGAGTCTACGTGGAGTGTGGAGATGGGGAGGGGTTAGACATGATGAGGAGGAGACATGGACAGCCTCTGGAGGCCTGTGTCATGGGAGGGTGAGGGTTGGGCCAGGGGGAGACCCGGTCACGTGTGGAATCAGTCGCTCTGGTTGCTGTAGTGTTGAAGCCCTGGCTCCAGCTGGCTCCTACCAGGGACCCCAGGACTCGGCTCTAGCATTGGGCCAACCGTACAAAATGGGGTGCCTTCTGAACGTCTCTGTGGAGTTTCCCTCTCTGGGAGGAGGAGTTCTCAGTTTTATCCCAGGGTGGGACCCACACACTCCCCCAGTGGAGGTGATCTGGGAACCGTAAGGTGGCCAGAGGGTTAAATTCTGCCCGCCTGTTGGAGCTCTTCCTCACCCCGCCTTGCCCAGTGACTTGAGGACTGAACAGCAGACAGGTAAGGAAAGGAAAGGGGACTCTTTCATTGGGTGTACTAGACAAAGAAGGAAGCACCCTACATTGGTGTCCTGGGGTGGCCGCAACAAATGGCCACACACTGGGGGGCTTCAGACCAGAGAAAGATAGTCTCACCCAGTTCTGGAGGCAGAAGTCCAAAATCAAGGTGTCAGCAGGGCCGGGCTCCCTCCGAAGGCTCTAGAGGAGGATCCTTCCTGCCTCTTCCAGCTGTGGGTGCCTCCAGGCATTCCTGGCATCACTCCAGGCTCTGCCTCTGTCTTCTCCCGTGTCTCCTGTTCTGTGTCTTATAAGGACACTTGTCATTGGATTTAGGGCCCAGTGTAACCCAGGATGATCCCATCTCCAGATCCCTAACTTAATTACATCTGCCAAGACCCTTTCTCCAAATAGGGTTACATTCACAGCTTCCTGGGATGTCTTTTGAGGGCCACAATTCAACCCACTCCAGGCCCTCACCCTGGCCCAGGAGAGCAGGACACCATCTGGAACCCTGCATTCCCTCGGGGCATGGATTTGCGGGCCCCTCCTGGAGCTTGGCTGCTGATGCTGTTGGGAGGGCACCCAGCTGGGTTTCAGGTGGCTAATATTTAATGAGCCCGACTTCTTGCCATTCCTCCTTGCCTCCTTTCAGCCCCTAAGAACCACTGAGGCATTGAGCAGGTGAGGGTCCCTTGTCAGGAGCACACCCTTGGCCCAGGGGCCCTCGTCCTGCCATGCATCCACCACACAGCGTCCCCGGCCCCCCAGGGCTGTCACCCAGAGGGAGGGGCGGGGCTTTTCTCCCATGGTTCATTCATTCTCAAGACCCAGCAGCAAAGCAGGACTGAATCCGACCCCTTACCTGTTCTATCCTGCTTTGGGGTGACAACGTATAACTAGCCTTAGAAATCAGTCACGAACCTGTCTGTGGCTAAGCTTTTTGACCGGTTTGCTCTTAACGCTCATTTATTTACTCAAAAGAGCATTCTAATCTGAAACAGCCTCAATAATCTAAACCTAAACTCACCGGTGTGAGCCCAGCCCAGGTCCAGCCTGCCCCAGATGCATTCATCCCTTCGTCCCACCAGGTCCACCATGACCTGCCGTGCAGCCAGCCCTTTGCCAGCCCCATGGGGGCCACTGAGGGGCCTCCAGCCAGGCTGTGCCCTCCAGATGCCTGCCCTGTGGTCAGGAGCTCAGGCTGGGGCCAAGGAACACCTGATCCCCAGTGAGTGGTTTCCCACCAGGAGGGCAGGTGGACATGCTGAGGCGGGTGGTCAGCGGGCTGGGCTGTTAGAGATTCTCCAGGGAAGGAAAGCTAAGTACAGGCAGGATTCAGGTAGGAGGAGGCGGCCGGGGAGAGTCCTCCAGACCGAGACGGCAGGGGCACAGGGGGAGGAGGGAAAACCGGGGGAGAAGGAGACATGTTGCCAGCCTCGGCCCTCCTCGCCAGCCCTGTGTGACCGGCCTAAAACTCGCACCTGGCCAGGCCCCTCCCCAGCTCAGGACCCATCAGTATGAGTTTCCTATCACTGCTGTAACAAGTGACCACACACTAAGTGGCTTAAAAACAACCCAAATTCATTTTCTCTTCATTCTAGAGGGCAGAAACCCTCAACGAGTCTTCCGGGGCTAGAACCGAGGTGTCAGCGGCCTCCTTCTGGGCCTCCAGGGGAGAATCCGTTTCCTGGCTTTCTCTGCCTTCCAGAGGCCTCCTGTGTTCTTGGCTGGTGGCCCCTTCCTCCCCTTCCAAGTGCATCCCTCCAACCTCAGCTTCCATCCTCACATCTTCCCTGACTCTGACCCTCCAGCCTCCTCCTTGTAAGGACCCTTGTGATCACAGCAGGCCCACTCGGATAATCCAGGATCATCTCTCCATCTTGAGATCCTTAACTTGATTGCAACTGCAAAGTTCCCTCTGCCATATAAGGTGACATATTCACAGAGCCTGGAGATTAGGACGGGGACATTTCGGGAGGCATTGCCCTCACAGTCCAGACTTCTTGGCCAATCTGCAGGGCCCCTTGGTCCCCCTAGCCTCATCTGCTCCCTCCCTCCAGCCTCATGGAACTGCTTGCTCTCTCTCTCAACAAGCCAGGGTCCCACCTCTGTGCCTCTGCCCATGCTGTGCATGCAGCCTGGAAGAGCTGGAGAACCTTTCTCCTCTGCCAGGGCTCAGGTGTCCCCTCCCATTGGGAGCCTTTCCAGCTCCTTGGCTTCTGGCTTATGCAGAGGCAGGAAAGCCACAGAGGAGAGCCCGGGGGGAGCAGGTATTGGCGTCAGGTGGTGAGCTGGGTTTGGACGTGTAGAGTCCAAGGCGCCTAGAGGACATCAAGGAGAGTGCTGAGTCAGATCTGGGTTCCCAGGTCTCATGGAGTCTCACTTTTGAACCTTACCTGGGCCCACATCCCTCACCTTGGAAGGAAGCAGTGGGACAGTATCACTGGTCAGCTGGTTGGCAGGTCCCATGTCTGACCTGTGGAAGGATTCAGGTGCCAACTGGGGATCAGAGTGGCGGAGCAGGGAGCATCCCTCAGCTGGGCATTTGCTCTCTCAAAGAACCCACAAAGCACACAGGAAGTAGTTCTTGGCTCAGATTCAAGGGATATGATCTGAGCTATATGGACCCCCAAAGCTAAGGGAGAATCACAGTGGTGGCCTTTTGTCAGTTGGGTCCTCCAGGGCACAGACCCTGACACCAGGGATTAGGAAGAGTCAGGAATGCAAGAGTTTTGGGGAGCTGTGTTAAGAAAGAGGATAAGAAAGTGAGGGAGCAGGCAGAGACCCTCAGATGATGTGCAGACCTGATATGGTCCAGGCCAGCCAAGTGGGGAGCTTCCAAGCAAACACTGCCCAGCAGGTGGCCAGGCCCTGTGCTCTCATCATTAGCCAAAGGTGCTAACAGAGCCAGAAGTGCTAACAGAGCCAGAAGAGCTAACAGAGCCTGAGGTGCTAACAGAGGCAGAGGTGCTAACAGAGCCTGAGATGCTAACAGAGCCAGAAGTGCTAACAGAGCCAGAAGAGCTAACAGAGCCAGAAGTGCTAACAGAGCCTCAAGTGCTAACAGAGCCTCAAGTGCTAACAGAGCCTGAGATACTAACAGAGCCAGAAGTGCTAACAGAGCCAGAGGTGCTAACAGAGCCAGAGGTGCTAACAGAGCCAGAAGTGCTAACAGTGCCTGAGGTGCTGACAGGTGGAGGGCATCAAGCTCCCTGTGCTCCCAGCAGCTGAACAGCAAGCTATTTCTTGAAGGGAGATCTATGAGGCACCTCCTGCTGCCAGATGGCCCTGGGCATTCAGTGGTCATTCCTGAGCCCTTCTTGGTTCCAGGTGTGCCACTGGGGAGACCTGATGTGGTAAAAATAAAGTTACTGTCCCCTTAGGGTTTTACTCCATGAGAACAGTAAAATACAAATAAATAAGTTCAGTGAGTGAATAAGATGAAACATAGAAAAGGGGGTGGGGGACCCTGCTGAGCCAGTGGTCTAAAGGACTTTCTGAGGAGGGATATTTGAGCTGGGAATCATCAGAACATAGCCAGGGAAGGACACAGCCATTCAGGCAGGAGGGACAGTCGTGTGTCCTGTGTGGCGAAGGAACTTGGTGACCCCCAGCTCATCCTGGGCCCCAAGTCTTGACACTTACCTCCACCCCTGTGCCCTGCCCCATCACCTGCAAGTCCTCCCCTCTCCTCCCTTTCCTCCTCCTTCCCTCTCACACTCCCGCCTCTTCTCGTGCAGCAGCCTTTGGTCTGGGTGGCCAGTCATGCTGGTTCTCGGCTGGATGGGGAGAAGGGGACACCTTGGGTTGAAAAGTGAAGGATGGGACCAGACCCAAAAGGCCACATATTGTATGATCCCTCTTCTATGAAATGTCCAGGACAGGCACGTCGAGGAGACAGAAAGCAGATTAGTGGTTGCCAGGGGCTGGGAGGGGGCAGGGGGGAGTGACTGCCTCATGGCCACGGGGTTTCCTTTTGGGATGATGAAGATGTTCTGGAGCTAGATGGAGATGGTGGTTGGAAATGAACTTAATGCCACTGAATTGCTCACTTTAAACAGTTAATTTTACCTCCAAAAAACGGGCACACAACAGAAGATGCAGGACAGCCATGTGCGGATGGGGGCACTATGGTGGTCTGGCCCCCAGTGGGAATAAAGAACTGCCAGACATCTAACCTGGAACTAGGACTGCAGGCGGTTCACCCATGTCTTATGATGCTGAAATAACATCTCTCTCCTCCCTGGCCTTGAGTTACTTTCAGAAAGCCTTTTTCTTGTATCAGCCTTGAGAAGCTCTGGACTCAACAAGGCAGGGAGGGAGGAAAGCTCCTCCGTGAGTGACTGGGTGGGGTGGGTGCATGGAGGAGGCCGGGTGGGCCTGTCCACCAGGGTAGAGGCCTTTGCAGGGGCCAGAGGACAGGAGGGAGTTCCAGGGTGGGTGGCAGTCTGCAAGAGCCCCCAGCCCTTCCCATCTTGTCCCCTTTCTTTTCCTCTAAGCTGTGAAGTTTCCGCACCCCCCGACTCGAAACCTGTATGAGCGCGTGCGCCCCGCTGCCTTATTTGATGCCATCTACCCCCGTGAGTACCTGTCCCCCAACTCCCTGCCCAGCTGATATCCCGGTGGGGACTCTCCAGCCTGACCTCATTCACGCTCCTGCTCCGCCTGTGCCAGGGCCCGAGAAGGTCCCTCGAGTGGCCCCACCCAGCGCCCAACCCCCTGGCCAGGGCCTCCAGCTGACCTGGGCTCCTGCTTCAACCTTCAGCGGGGCTGCTAGGCCCGGGCGCCATCCCAGGGGCCCAGGCCAGGTGTCTGTCCCCAGGTGTCCAGCTGGCTGCAGGGTGGGATAAGGGAGCCCATTAATTCCCATGGCCTCTCTGCTGGGGGGCCCCCCATGAGCCAGGCTGGGGTAACGGACCTCAGGACTTCCCCGATTCCTGCGGCCATGTACCAGGCCTCTGTGGGTGCTTTACAGTCTAAAAGCCTAAAAGCCCCCTCTCTCTGCTTATCCCATCCAATTCTCATCCCAGCCTGGTGAGGTGGGTACTGCTAGCTTATTTGAAAAAGTAGGGAGCCAAGGCACAGTGACCTGGGCTGGGGGATGCCAGAGCTGGGACCAGAGCCTGGATCCTGGACTCCAAGCCCCAGGTCCTCCAAGGTGCTCAGCTCCACTTTAGCTCCTGTGTCCTTTATCTTGAGTGCCACCCCCCAGCCCAGGAAGTTTAGGGTGCCTGGGACTGAGCAAGCCACCGTAGGCACTTCCAGTCTTGGGGCTTCTCTTCTTCTTAGCCGGGATGACCCTGTCAGGCCAGCTTCTCCCTGGAATGTTCTTAGGACACATTATGGGTCTCTCCTGCCCGTTCCAGCCCTGCACCCCCGCAGCAGCGTCCCCTCAGCTGCCTCGGGCCCTCACTCCATGATGCCAGCTCAGCCTCCATCTCTGCCACCCCGGCCTCCATCTCTGCCACCCCGGCCTCCGTCTCTGCCACCCCTGCCACTGCTGCCACCAGTGATGCCATCTCTGCGGGACCGCCAGCAGGCCCCAGAGCCCGCTAGGCACCTGAGGCCTCTGCGCCTTGTGTCCCGAGCCAGCACGCAGCCTGCCGAGGAGCCTGCCAACCCGTGAGCCCTGTGTCCTGCGCCCCCAGCCCTGCCAGTATCCCCTCCGCTCCCCTGGCCAGCAGGGACCAGACCCTGAGCCTGGCCTGGGGAAGTTGCAGGGGCCCTGGACGTAGGGGAGGGGTCTCCATAAGGGACTCATTTTGACCCAGTGGCTGTTTTAGCTCTAAGCATATAAATACACTCAACACAAGCCTTATCCTACATTTCATGGAGAACACAGCTTGCTAGATTGAATTTTCCACTAAGCCAATTTAATTCCTTGACCAATTTTTGATACAACACAGCTAAAGTGGTTTTACAAACAGTCACTTTCCTTTTTATTTTGCTGAAATGATGTCATCAGAATCAGTTCCAATTACAGCTACTGGCACTGTGCGTTTTCTTTGGGGGCCATTATTTCCACCGAGACCAATTTTCTCGTGGGAACCAAATTTTACTGTGTGTGTCCTTTTTTATTTTGTGTTGCTTATTCCCACCAGTAATTACTGTTACGAATTGGATATTTAAAGAACCTGATTGTTTATATTTGCTCCTTGGCTAATCCACGAGGAACTTGAGCAACGCCCTGGAATCCTCCAGGACCGCTCTCTCCCATCGTGGGCTGGGGTCCTGCACGCCTGTTGGACGTCTTTCTGGTTCCCAGGCTAACTGCCCATGGATTTGGTGGGACAGAGAGCAAACCGGGAGGGCAAGATGTCCTGTTTTGGCACTTTAGTGACTAGCCTTGGTGTGCAGAGCAGAGCTCACACCTACCTCCTGGCATCCTGCAGCCTGGCTTGATTTCTTCCCTTCGACGGTTTATTTGTCTATCCTCCCTCTCAATTTCGCTCTCTTGCCTTTTCTGTTCCCTAGCTTGTTCGGCTGTGCCTTCCCTCCTTTTTGCACTTGTGCACTTCTATCACATCTCCTTCTGCACGGTTTTGGGGCATGACCCCCCCACACACACACATACATCCACTAGAGGTCCCAGGAGCCGAGGAACAATCCAGGAATTGGGGTGGGGGATGAGCTGCCTGGAGTTCACCCTGGGAGAGGGCTGGGGGCTCCAGTCTCTGCCAGGGGACTGATATGGAAAAGGATCCCCTGGATCTGGTGGCCACCAGAGTCCAGGAAGGCTGTGTGCCTACCCCCTTCCTAATGGTTTCAGCCTCTTCCCCCAGCTCCTCACCAGCCACCACCCTTGGCCCTAACTTCTCTTCTCTTTCTCCAAGGACTGTGTCCAAATGAGGCCAAGCTCTTCCTGACCCAGGTGACTTACCTGTCCACGCCCCCCTCCCTGCCACGGGGGGGACCGGCTGGCATAGTCCTGGACCCCACCCCCACCCCCATATCACAGATGTGTATTTTTGGCAACTTCTCCCCAGAATAAAATCTTTCACTTTTCTGACTGTGGATGAGGGTAATTGGCTCATGCCCTCACGTGGGTGAGTAGACCTGCTGGTCCCCCCTCAGGCCACCACCCCAGGGTCAGCCTCCCAGACCCACTGTCCAGAGTCACTGTGGCTGAGTCTCGGCAGAGAATCACAACACACCTTCCCTCTTCCATCACATTTCCCACCTTGGCAGAGTCCCGACCTGCCCCAGCCCTGTGTGGTGGGCAGATCAGGGGTCTGTGGGCAGAGGGGGTGGTGTGACTTGCCCAGGGTCACAATGCGAGGCCTCAGTTCTCTGGCCCCCCACCCAGGAGGCCATATTTCTTGGGTGCTGTACACACGTCTGAGGGCGCTGCCCTCCCTCACCTCTCCCACAGCAGGAAGGGGAGGTGTGGCCCAGGCTCAGGCAAACTGGAGAGTTGGGGGCTCCCGGGAACGTACCCCATGCCAGGTGTTGTCAGGCTTGTCCCCTGCAGCCTGACACACAGGGAACCAACAGACACCCAGCCGTGGTTCTCGCAGTCCCTCATATCAGTCCCCATTCGGCCTCTCAAAGCTGCCTTCCCAGCTGTTTCTCAGGTTTACAAACGGAATCAGTGCTTGAGTTGGTTCCTGCAGCCCAGGGCGAGAGGAGTGAGGCCCAGGTAGGTGACTGTGTAACCATTTGCATTCCGACAGGCCTCCTCGGTGCTTTGGAAGGTGGGGAGCTGCAGACCCCCCTGCAGCCAGTCAGGAGCAATCCCAGAAGACGACGATCCTGTCCCCCAGTGTGGGAGGGGGTGGGGGCAGGGAGCAAGCCAGCCTTTGGCCTGGTCCTGCAGGCGTTGGAAGCTGGGAGGGAGGTGCTGAGCCTGCTCCTGGGGCAGCTGCCTCCGGGAGGGTGGCCCACCCCATCTCAGCAGGGGAGGGCGCTTGGGGAGCCAACAGAACCAGGGATGAGGTCAGCAGATTGGGAATTCGGAAGGCCCTGGGTCCAGACTCCTCCCCTGCTAGGGGGACCACCGCTCCTGGCCTGAGACACTGCAGCAGGGCCAGGCTGGACAGGAAGTAGGGTGACCAATGGCCTGATCTGCCTGGGAGTGAGGGGGTTCCTGGACCTTTCAGTTTTAAGACTGAGATGAGTTGGTCAGGTGGAGAGGGAGGCAGGTGGACTGGCCTGGCATACGGGGCTACACGAATGAGCAGGGCAGGAAGGGGAGGGAGATGCTGCTTGCCAAGCAGAGGGTCCTGCCTCGAGGTGCTGCTGGAATGGAGAACTGTGTGGTGACTACCCCGCACCCCCAAACCCAGCCCCACAACTCACTGGTGCAAGTGAAAGGGTCACTGAACATTGTCTCCTTTTCAAAGACCATGAACTCGTTAACCCTAAGGTATAAACAACCGACAACAGCAAACGTGTGTCCTGAACATGAGGCTCTGCACTAGAAAAAGGCACTACCAGTACCCAACAGCAGGCTGCCATAAGATAGAAGTTGAGGCTCTGGAGGGAGGGCCTTCTGTGCAGGGACTTGTTAGGGACACTCAAATCAGCACACACTGGCCCCCCGTCACCACCATCTTGGCTGGCTTGACCCCTGACTTTCCATGGATTTGGGGACTCTAGGCAGAGACCCTCCAAACACACACACGCACACACATATGCCAGAAAAGGGCTTCTCTTCTCTCTCCCCCTTTCTCTCTTGCTCGTCTTCACCAGGATCCAGTGAAAATGACCCCCCCTCCCCCCCATATTCACAGCTGTTATTCCCCAGGAGATGAGAAATGGTCCCAAGAAGCAGAGCAGAACTCTGCCAACAGGCTCCCAGCACCTCATGCACTGACAAAGCCTCGCCATCCTGGAAGCGGACCCTTCCCCACCCTCCCCCGGAGGACCCAGCACCCCCCACCCTTAAAAGAGCTGTGTTCTTTTAAGGCTCGTATGAAATACATATATTGCCCAAACATGAGCTGTGGCTAAGCAACCAGAGACATTTCCAGATGCAGGAATTGGAAATAGTCTTGCCTCAAAAGATCTCCTTTTGGCCAACTCTGGTGGCCTCCCTCCCCAAGAGCGACACTGGGAAGGCACCAGAGTCAAAGCACTCGTCTGTCCTCAGAGGTGTCCTGCTATGAAAAGCCCCTCGGAGACTCCAGGGCCACAGCAGCCCTGCCTGCCGCCGGGTTTGGGGGCCAGCCTCGGGAACAGCGTGCTTTTCTGCGGCCGGCCGTGATATGTTCTCGGAGAACCCTGCAAGGACCCTGGGAACCCGCCGCGGCCCTTCGTCTGAGACAATCTGGGCAGAGAACAGCTCTTCTCTTTTTAGAGCCGTCTGAAGGAGGAGCCCTGCCTGTCTGCATCCCCCGGGTGCTGCCTCCACCCCACTGAGCAGGGCATGTACTTCCACGGCTCCTGGGGAAAGCAAGATCCCCTTCAGAGATTCCAGCTGATTCTGAGGCGAGAGTTGGACACGTGTGTGTCCGTGGTGGCCAGTGCTGGTCGGCCAGGGCAGGCGAGGTTGTGTCCCCACTGTGATGGGTGCTTCAGCCAGTTGTGGCCTTGAGGGAACTTGGGCAGATGTTACAAATTTCCAGGACCAACCAGAAGCAAGGCTTTTCATGTAAACCCTTCTGATTTTAGAATGTTGGCAGATAAGTCAAAAAGATGTAAAACACCGTGCCAGCCAATCAGGGGACAACAAGTTTGCAAACCCCTAAGATAACCACGCCCCAATCTTTTAACAGCAGACCAGAAGGGCACATCTACCGCTTGTCACTGGGGAGGCCGGACCGTCATTCCCACATGCTGCCGTGTCTCCTCTGAAGAAATGAGACACACAGAGCGCAAATCACTATCTTGGAAGCAACGTCATGGGTGCAAATGGTGTTTTTTAGAGTGGAATTTTGGAAACAAAATCATTTAGAGCTCAAGTCCGGTGGTCAGGTAGGGGGTGACCAAGCCTGGAAGAGGCCGGACTTTGAGGTAATAAGGCCAGATTTCCCGTGTGTGCTGCTTGGGCGGCTCCCAGGAGCGCCGGAGAGGAAGGACAGCTGAGGATAGCTGTAACTGTGAGTCTCTCCGGTTTGTACGTCAGCACCTTTGCTTTTTAGCTAGTTTACACTTGAACGTGTGGTGGATGGTGACTGACGCCTTCAGTTTTGCTTCTGAGCTTCCAGGCTTGGGGCAGCTGAGGAGAGTTCCAGCTTCTCCATTCGCACCGTGTGGGCCCACCTCCAGCTCCCCTCGAGTTTGTCCAGCCCACTTTTGCAGCCCTTCCTGTGCTGGAGAGATGCTTGGATCCCGGGGCTCCCAGCACACCTGGCAGGGCCTCTGCATTGCTGCAAAGTCCCCAGGTCGCCAGGCCCCAGCTCCAGCCCTGCCCTCTGCCCCTCCTGCTCTGGGTTCTCATCTTGCCTGGGGCACTTAATAAAAATCAGATTCCTGGGCCCTCCTCCAGAACAGTTGCTTCAAACACCCAGGGGACCCTCAGGGTCCATAAGCTTGGGGGTCCCCAGTTGCTGTGAGGGGCATGTGCTGGGTGATGGTGTCAGAATCACCTGGGAGCTTTTTTACTTTTAATACCAGCTTTGACACAAAATTGACATTCTATAAAGTTCACCCTTTTAAAATGTACAATTGATTAAGTTTTTGTTTATTCACAAGTCGATCACCAATACCCTGGGGAACATTTAAAATCATGCCTTCAGGGCTTCTCCCCAGAGATTCCATGCCCTGGGGCCCAGGAGTCTGTGGTCTGCTTGTCTTTTTACAGAGCTCCCAGGAGGCTCTGCTATGCAGACAGGTGTGGCAATCAGGAGTCTAGAGCACGGACGTTTTGTCACGTCTACAGATGTTTTTGGTGTCACAACTGGAGGTGCTCCTGGCATCTAGTGGGTAGGGGCCAGGGATATTGGTCAACATCCCACAGTGCACAGGACGCCCCCACGGCAGAGAACGATCCAGCCCCAAATGTCCATGGTGCCCAGCTTGGAAAACCTGGATCTATAGGAACCTTAAGTCCTTTCCAGCCTAATATGACCTCCTGAGACCCCCAGGCCCAGCCCACCGTGGCCCCAGAAAAGAAATGGGCCTCACTTCCAACAGGTGAGCACATAGGAAAAGTGTAGTATACAGACACTTCTCAAACTGGGGCCTGCGGTCCTGAGTCTCTAACAAGCTCCCCGTAACGCTGCTGGTCTGGGGATCACACTTTGAGTAAAGAGGGTATGGTGCATTTACATGCCATCCAGGGGCTTGCCCAGGCTCGACCTTCCCGTTGCCTCCAGGAGTGCAAATTCTAGATGGTGTCTCTGACATGTATGGCCACCTCAGTAATCTGCCCACTGGGAGAGCTCAGACATACTCCCCACCACACGGCAGATAACCGAGGAACACGCCTCTGCAAAGCCTTTTTCCTACCACTTGAAGGGAGGTGTGGGTTTCCCGAGCATTTTCTTCCATCCACAAGAATGGAGAAGCTGTAGTGAAGATTCAGGAGGCCCGAGATATCCTCACTCTTTGCCTGCCCCTCCCTCCCTCCCTCCCCACCTGACACGGGCCCCAGGTGGAGGCTCGCCCCCTCTGGACTCCAAGAGGCCGTCAGAAGCGTGGGTTTCAAGGTGAGGACATGTGTCTGGGACATAAACAACAGCTCAAACGGGGTCCTAGCAGTCATTCTTCAGTGACAACCACAAAGTAAAGAGTTGTTGCAGGAGGGCCTTGTCAACAGATCCTGTCCAGGTTCCAACAGGGAAATGAAGCTGGGTAGGGCACGGTGACACGGGGCATCCTTGTCAGAAAGCACGGCCCACCCCTGGGAGCAAGAGCAGGACTGTTGACAGTGAGTGCTGAGACGCCAATCAAGCCAGAGACCTTCCGAAATAGAAGCAGCTCTCTAATTCAGGCAGCACCCGCAGAGGGCTAAGGTGCCAACCAAGGAAGGCTGGGCGCTGGGTGGGTGTGACCCCAGATTGGGGAGTGAGGTCTGCCTGTGAGGCACTGCAGGCTGAGCCCAAGGGTTTCTGCAGAGGCTCTGGCCTCCTCCTGCCCCGAGCCTAGGCCCCTCACAAGGGCTGCAGGGCTGAGGCTGCCTTCTCCCAGAGCTGCCCCAGGGACCCCTCCCCCAGCGTGGGCAGCCCAGGGGCAGAGGGGGCATTCCTGGCTTCCTCCTTTGGGCTAGAGCAGGTGCTTACTTCAACCTTGCTTGGGAGAGCCTGGGATCCACTGTCTATTGCCCCTGGGCGGCTGGTTTCCTTAGCGACCAAGGGCTTAAGCTGCAGGTTGGACTCTGCCCTGGCCTCCTCCTGTCCCTGTCGCTAGCCCCCGCTGGCTCTGCACCCAAGCCTGCTAACTGACTACAGGCACTGTGCCTGCACCTCCCCAGGGGAGGGACCTGCCCCACGCGGCCAATTTGCTGGAGGTTGGGCTGGGAGGGTCCAGCCCGCTGTCAGCCACTGGGGCCCTGAGACAGGAAGAAAGGTCCTTATGTGAAGCCCAGGCAGGCCGGAAGGCAGTTGTTAGCCCCAGAGATCGGATCCATCCAGCCAGGCAGGGGGAAGGGTGGGCAGATGGAGGCTGCGATTCTGGGAACACAGGCCAGAAACTAGCTTCATGGGAAAAGCCTCGGGTGGGCAGGAAGATTCCAGAGCACGTTGTGGTTGAAAAGACAGCGACAGACAGGAGCACTGAGGAGCCGGGCAAGACTGGGGGGTGGCCCTCTGTTCTGGGCTCTGTCTGTGCCCTCCCCTTCCACACAGAGCCAGCTGGCAGCAAAGCTTAGGATACAAGGCAAGACCACAGAGTCTGGTGGTGGTTTGGAACTTTCTTCTCCTTTGTTAAAAGGGGAAAGGAAATGGGTATGGGGTACCCCCGGGCTCTGAGGGAGGCATGCAGGCAGCCCCAGCAGGCAGGCGCTGGGGGATGGGTGGGAAGAGTCCTGGAGTTTCCCACAATCCTCTTCTCTGCAGGGAACAGCAAGGCTGGCCGGCCAGGGGGTTGAGGAGAGGGCAGGGCCCTGGGGAGAGGGGTGGCGGGCAAGGGGCTGGGGGCTCACTCTAACATGCAAAGTCCAGCTGCCCCGTAAACTAGGTTGCTTCTTGAAGTGCGACATACATATAAATACACAGACACAGCTACACGCACACATGCGAAGACTCTGCATTCCCGAGGGTGGGGATCTAGGCCTGCCGGCCCCCAAGGAGCTCCAAGGCAGGAGCCAGCCGAGTCTCCGCAGCGGTGGCGCTTCTCCGCAGCCCCCTGGGTGGGGTGGGGCAGGTGAGTTCTCTGGGGAAGGCTGCTTGGCCTCTGAAGTTCTGTCCACCAGCACCCAGACGACTCAACCAAATCCATGCAAGCTGGGTGCCACGTGCCTGCGCTTCCGTGTATGTGCGCGGGCAGCCTGTGTGCTGGCATGAGGGTCCCGTCTCTCCCCTCCAGGGCTCCGGGGAACGGGGGTCAGACAGAGGAGGGTGAAGGGGGCCTGCGGAGACATCCTCTCCCCCGCCCCACGGGGCCCTGGCCTCCGGGAGGGGGGAGGGGCCTCCCTTATCTCTCGGCCTCCATGGCGGGGTGGGCCCTGGGTTCTGAGGTGGCCTGTTGGGGTGGCAGGGGCGGCCAGTCTGACACCGGGGAAGGGGGTGCTGGAGTCCACAGGGGCGGCTGCTGCGGCGGGTGGTGCTGTGGCCCCCCTGGGGGCGAGGCCGCAGTCGGCCAGCTGGGTGCCGCGAAGCTGCCGGTGGCGGCGTGGGGGAAGTGCGGTGGGGGCGATGTGGCCGTGGCGGCCATCGGGCTGCCGCTGCCGCCACCGTGGAAGCTCTCAGAGGCCTTGAGACGGGAGAACATGGTGAGGGCGTCAGGGAAGTTGGGGGGCGTGGCAGGGGTGTTGGCAGGAGTGCACATCTGCAGGGGGAAGAACAGAGGGGGGTGAGCACCCCTTTCTGGGAGGGCCCGTGGCCTCCACTGCCTCCTAGAAGACCCACTCCCAGCCACTATTGGGAGCTTTTGTGCCCCTTCCCTGGATGCACCCTGGCCCCATAAGATGGTCCACCAGCCAGGGGCTCACAGAGGAAAAGCACAGTGCCCGAGATGGGCCGGCCCCCCACACCCACTGGCGGTATCTAAGGAGGCCCCATCCCAGCGCGAGCCAGTGGCCCCTCCGCAGCCGAGAGCCACTGCAGCTTCCTCAGCCAGAGCTGCTTCCCCTGCCCTGAACGGGCAGACCCCAGAACCTGCCCCTGGGGCTGCAGGGGATACTCACCATCTGGTGGTGGTGGTGGCTGTAGGGGATGTTGGTCTCCTGGAAAAAGGCGCTGAGGGCCGTCTGTGGGAAGAAAGGCCCATGCTTACCCTCAGGATCCCATGGCTTACAGCTGCCCTCCCTCCTAGGCTCTCTGGGGCCTGGTGTGGCTCCGGGCCTTGCTCCCAACTGGGAGAGGCAAGTCGAGGTGGTGGGCCTGTCACCACTTGGACCCTTGCTACCACTCAAGGAGGCGCCGTGGACCCCCAGGGCAAATAGGGTGAGTGGTGAAGACCCTCACGATGCTGCATGCCACCTGGATGCCAGGTGTCTCTGGCTCACACACACCTGGTGGTGTCACCACGATGGGGGGCGGGCAGCACCCTCACCTGTCTCATGGGGAGAGACCTCCAGAGAACTTGAGCTTTTGGTTCAGGAGATTCTAGCCCAAATGTCACCAACTCCATGCGCGGCAAGTCCTTACTCCTCTCTGAGCCTCAGTTTTCTCATCTATGAGCCAGGGGATGGCAAAGGCCCCCAGATGTCAGGTCTATGACCCTTATGCCCCTCTTCTTGGCTGACTAAGGGACCCTGCCCTGATGTGGGCCTCAGTTTCTCCATCTGCACCACAAGAAGACTGGACTAGGTGGCTTCCAGTTTCCCCTCCCTGCAGTGAGCTCCTATGATCCACGTTCCAGCTGGGAAAGCCGGAATTAAGTAGGAGGGCCTGGGTTTTGCACTCGCTGCCCGGCTCACCTGAGCCTCTGGTGGAATGTTCTCAAGGTGGCGGTGGAAGAGATTGGCAGAAGTGGGGCTTGCACCCAGGACTGTCAGAGGGGAATGGGAAGGGGCCGAGACCAGCTCATTCAGAGGCCCTGGGACACTGGGGGGAGGGGGCTCCCGGGAGGGGCTGGCACATGGTGTGTTCTGGTGTGTTCTGGCTCTGGCCCTGCAGGAGAGGCATCGAGGAAAATAAGGGAACCGGTTGCTCTCTTGCGAAAGTGCTGAGTGAGGGAGCCTGTCAAGTGTGTGAAGGGTCCACCAGGCCCTGCCAAGTCCCAGGCCCAGCCCCAGCTGCCCTGGCGGCTCTGTCCTCCACTGCCACCCCCTTAGGCGCCCCCCCCCAGCCCTGTGTTGTCCAATCCCCTCCCCCCAACACACCCAGAAACCCAGCCTGGCTCCCAGCGCTTGCCCTGGGGGCTTTGTTGTTTCATTCAAGTAAATTCAAATGAATTTTCTGGGAATTTCCTGCTGGAGAAGCCCTACCCCAGTGTCCCTAAAGAGGGGTGTGGGAGTTTGGGGGGAAGAGGCCTGCTGGTCTCTACGCGCCTCCTTGTGATCTCCCCCAGGAGCCCCAAGGGACACACCAGAGCCATTCCTTTGCCAACAGCAGCTCCAAAGGCCACCATGAGTGAGGTGTCCAGTGAGAAAAACCTGCTCTTCTCCAAGACCTAAAGCCGCACCCTTTAAAGCACACAGGACCCCTCCCCCTGCAGCCTTCCGTCCCCATTAACACCTGAATCACAGAGAATATGACCCAAAAACAGGGCCTTTGGCGAGGTCAGCCCTCAGCCCTTGTATGCTGCCCCCGGGTGTGTGTGTGTGTGTGTGTGCGCGTGCACGCGCACACGTGCGTGCGTGTGTAGGGCAAAGAAGGAGAGGATTCCATGAGGAAGCCTTCATTTTGTAGACCACGCAGGGACCCAAGGTTTGGGGGTTCACAACCCGTTTGCACCTTAAGTGAACCTGCCTAGTAGCCCTCATTCTACAGATGGTGAAACAGACTCAGGGAGCCCAGACTACAGGGCTCCTCCGCTGGGGGCCACCACAGCCCCCCAGCCTGCAGGCTGCTCCTACCCCTCCTGGGGACAGAGTTTCTCTCCAAGCATTTCCAAGCTCAAATCTACATTTTCAGTTTCTGGGATCAAGGACACTAACCTGTGCTACCCCAGCGACTGCCCAGCTGACTAGGCTGAGAGCACCAACAGGCAGGGCCGATTCCCACTGGACACCTGCCCGCCCAGCCCCAGGCAGGGAGGCCATGTATGCAGATGTGGGACTCAAGCAAACTGCCATGAATGTGGTTTTGCAAGTTTTGCCACATCCAGCCCTTGAGACAAACTGGCTGATTAGGGAGCTTCCTGCAGGGTGGGGCTGCCAGCCTGGGGGAGGGGGGTGGTGGAGCTGGCCCTTCAGTCCTCAGAGGTCCACTCACACCCCAAAGATACAGAGGAGGAAACTGAGGCTGGTGACGGAAGGGACTGCCCAGAGAGACAGAGCAGCCTCCCATCTCGAGGTGTGAGGACCACACAGGGTCAGTGGTCTCCGCAAAGATCTCTGGTAAGGAGGAGGAGAGAGAGGATTCCTCTGAGTGGATAGGCCACTGCCTCCCCAGCTGTCCCAACTCACATCCCCATCCCACCCCCAGCAAGCTGAGCCCCAGAGTGCCCTGGCTCCTGGTCCCTCCTGCAGGCACAAACATCCCTGGGACGGCTCCCCACGGGGAAACCTGGCTCCTGGGCCTGGCTGGGCACAGACACTACAGACTGGTCGGGGCTGTGACCTTACACCTGTGAGGGGAGGAGCTCAAGGGGCTCTGGCCTCCTCCCTGGATACCACCCTGGGTTATTTATGGGGCCAGTTGAGTTAAGGAAGCCAGGTGGCCTCTTGGCAGCACAAGCTCTGGGCACTAGTGCTCTAGGGGTCAGGGAGGCCCGGGGGTGGAGGCCAGACTGGGGCAGCCCCACCTCCCACCCAGCTAGCCGAAAGCTACTGAACCGTGTACACCACTTCGCGCACGGTGCGGGAAGATCCTCCTGCCAGCAGAGGGGAGAACCGGGACTCGGCTCTGGAGCGGGGTACACAGACGCACAGCCGTAGCTGTAGTGGGGCTCCAACACACCACCAGTACACTCATGTGTGTACACGCGTGGGCACCAACTGCAAAACGGCGACGTGTGTGTACGCGCAGCTCACACACGCCGCACCCCGCGTGGACTGCGTGTTTACACACACGCCAACATGCCCACACGTAGCGTGGCGCGTGCGTAAATACAAATGCACATGTACGTGGACACACCGGCACGCAGACCCTCAGACCCACACGCTCGCGGCGGCTGCGCCCGCGGGCCCCGCGCCCCCCTCTTCCCAACCCCGCGGCTCCCGAAGGGGGGCAGCGCAGACCCAGCTCGGCCCAGGCCTGGGTCGTCCTCCTTCCGGCCGCCCGCCCGCCCGACTGTCCGTCCGGGCCGCGGCACCGCCCCGCCCTGGCCGTTACCCGAACAAAAAGGGGGGAGTCCCCACATCCCGACGGCCCGGGGACCTCGGGGGCGGGGAGTCGAGACGGTGGGGGCCGGTCGCCCCTTCCGCCCACCCCGCGCGGGCAGCGCTTCCGGGGGCTGCGTAGACGCGGCCGCGCCGCCGGGCCCGACCCGCACGCCGCGTGTGCGCGCCGGGGCCCGGACGCTGGGGCGCGCGGCCGCCGGGACACCGGGTTGAGCGCGCGGGCCCGGCCGAGCCCCGGCGGAGCGCGCACCGGCACGTGTCCACACCGGCCCGCACACGCCCCGCGGCACGCGCGGCCACGCGGGACGGACACCCGCCCCGGCCCCCCCGACCCCCCGGCCCGGCCGCGCACCTCGAACTGCCAGTGGGCCGCCTGCAGCAGCTGCTTCGCCTGGTCGGCCGCACAGCCCGCCGTCAGCACAAACTGGTTGATCATGACCTGGTGCTTGAGCTCGTCCATGTTCACGGACATGGCGCCGCCGCCGCGCTGCCCCCCGGCCGCCCGCCCGCCGCGCTCCTCCGCCTCACGCGTCCACCATTAGCGAGCCGGCTCCGGCTAATACAAATATTTACTGTGCGGCTCTGACTCACCGAGCCTCGCCTCGCGCGGCCGCGGGGCACACTGGAAGTTGTAGTCCCGCCGCTTCCGCCGCGCCGGGCCGAGCCGGCCAGCAGTCTCCGGCCGGGCTGGGGAGAGGGCGTGTCTGAACTGTGAGCCCCACTGTGTGCGCAGCCGGGCCGCACGCGCCCGGGCCCGAAACGAGAGCTGGGCACGTCCTGGTCGCCCCCGTGGTTCTGGGGGCACCCGCGGCCCTGCCTGGCACTGATGAGGGTCAGCACACTGGGGCCACAGACTGCGTGGGCGCAAACGCCGGCCACAGGGGTCTTTGCCCAGGCCCCGGGACCTCGAATCGCGGTGTGGTTGGCATCCGTCTGTGTTGAGTGGGCGCACCTTTGGAGACGGGGTCCTAGGAGTTTTGGCACAAATCGGAAGCACTGGGACGTAAGGTCCCGAAAGCCTAGCACAAAGCTAGGCGCCAACAAATACTCGTTCAGTGAATGAATGAATGAATCTGCTCTCTAGGGCTCTGCTCAATGTCACCGCCTCCAGGAAGCCTTCTGGTCTCCCCAAAGCAGGGAGCACAAGCTCACATGGCCCGCTTGTGATGCGAGTAACCCCTCACCCCAGCCTGGCGCTCAGCCAGACACACAGTAGGCCCAAGGAACGTCTGGGGAAGCGATGGCGCCCGGGACAGGCAAGCGAGGCCAGCAGGTTTTGGTGCCTCGGGGTCCCTTCCTCGTGCTGTTCTCACTTTCCCACGCAAAATCTCGGGCTCCTTGCCGGAAATCTCAGGATTCGGCGGGCGGGCGGTAGGACCCCGCGAAGTCAGTTCCGGGGCAGCCCTGAACTCCTATTCCCAGAATGCCCCGGTTTATTTGCATCTTTCGGTCCCGAATGACGTCAAGTGAGTGAGGCCGCGCCTCGGCCAATGGGCGGCCGCGGGGTGTTAGGACCTGGCCATATAAGGTAAACAAAGCTGCTCGCCCAATGAGGCAGCGGCGGGGGCGGGCGCTGGGTAGAGACGGGCGGGGGCGCGTCACGTGGCGGGCGGGGGCGGGGCCGGCGAGCGCGGGGGTGGGGTGTTGCGGGCTGTGTTTACAGCCCGGCACGCGCCGCTTCCGGTTGACGTCTCGGGGCAGACAGGCTCGGAATGGGACCCCGGCTGGGGGCGGGGAGCCGCCGCCAGCCCAGGTTGGCTCGGTCACCCCCGCTCTGAACGACCTTGGCCCGGTTGCTTGCGCTTCCTGGGCCCCAGTTTTATTTGTTGAGCAACTATTCATTGGGCCCTTGCTCTGTGCCTGGCTCTGACCTGGACGAGGGCACAGCCAAGGGGAAACCCGAGACCCATGAGCTGGTGGCAGGGCTGGGGGGGGGGGGGGCGTGTGTCACAAATCCCAAGGACAGATGTACACCTGCAAGTGTGGAGAGTGTACTTCAGGAAGCAGGCACAGGCCCTGGGGACGGTGGGTTAAAAGCTGTCGAGGGGTTTTAATAGATCTGATTCCTTGTCCGCGTTAGAATCGCTGTGGCTGCGGCAGTGTGGAGACCAGATGGTGGAAGAGGGGTCCAGTTCGGATCAGGCCATGTTCTGGGTGTGTCTGGTTCCATGGGAGTCCGCCACTGCTCAGCGGCTTGCCGGCAGAATTGGACTGAATGAAGGGAACTGTCCCACATAGAGGGTGGGGGAGGGCCTGCAATACTCTCTGCGAAGCCCTTCCTGGGTTCGTCGACACTCCCAGGGGTTCTGGCTTTGGTTAGTGGAAGGAGGATGATGGGCGACTGGTGGACAAGGCTTGAAAGGTCCCAAGGTGTGGGGGGTGGTGGAGGCTAAGTGACCGGGATAGCTTCTGGGAGGGAAGTCTGGCACGGTGGCACAGCTTAGTGGCCTCTGAGGGCTAGAGTTGAGAGCTTGGCCCTTTGGCAGGGGGAGGACTCTCAGTGTCCCCCTTTCCAGGTGGGCACCTCAGCCCTGGCAGAAGTTGCTGTCTACTTTGGAAATAAGGTTTCAGGCTCTTTTCTGCCACATGAGGATCACTCAGGATCCCCATTTTTTGCAAACTGCCATGGTGCTAGATTCCTGCCCTTACTAAGAATGGGCCCTCACCTTTGCAAAGCATCATAAGCATAAATTAATGGGGGCAAAGTGCTCAGCACGGGGTAGGCAGCTCTGAATGTGGACCACTATCACTATTACCCCTGAGACAGCAACAGGGCATGGTGGAAGGTGAGCAGGCTCTGGGGCCAGACAGACCTGGGTGTCAGTCTTGGCTCCGTCACTTAATGACTGATGCTGGGCAGGTACTCTCTCTTTGAGCTTCGGTTTCCTCATTTGTAGAACAAGATAAGAGCGCGGAGCTCTCCCAGCGCTGCGGTGGGGGATTAATGCCTGTGAGCTGTTCAGCATGGGCCTGGCACTCAGCGCACCACTTCTAGCACTCACCTCTTTGCCTTCATCTGGACCACTCTAGGGGCCTCAAGCCCCATTTTACAGATAAGGAAACTGAGGCTGGAATCTGCACCTTACACTCTTGCCAGTGTTCAAAGCCAGTGGAGAAGAGCAGGCACCCAGTAGGTGTGTTTCTGGCAAGGGAGAGTGGGCGCTGTCCTGGCACGGCTGACTGGGGGCCTTTCTTGCTCAGGGAGGCAGGAAGTATCTTCACTCCTCCCCCAGCCCTCCTCCAGGCACCACTGAGGTACCTGCCCAGGCTTGCCGAGCCCAGAAGGAGCTCTTCCAGGTCAGCCGGCTGACTGGGGTGGGGCAGATGTGGCTGGGGAGTGAAGGTCGCCCTTCTGGCCCCGATGGCCCCCCAGCCAGCTTGTTTTCCCCGGGGGCAGCAGGGAAGAAAAAACAACCTTGTTTTCAGACAGGATCAGCCTGGCTAGAGAGTGGACTTTGGATTTCTTCGCAGGCTCCGATGGGGCCTGACAGCTGGGGCCAGTAGATGGGGGAGGGAGAATAAAAGCCATTTCTGGCAGGCAGTGCCCTCACTTGGGGTCCAGGGAGCTTGAGGGCTTTGCCAAAGCTGGCATAGCCAGTCGATGGAGGGCACAGGGCCCTGGCCTCCCCCGAGTCCCCTGGCCTTCTCCCTACCCCCATTCTTTCAATCACTCCACAGATGTAAGTGTTTATCAGCTATCTACTAGGTGCTTGGCTCTGGGAGCACAAGAATGAATAGGCGAGGAGCCTGCTGCCTCAGGAGGCTTGAGAAGAAGTCTAGACTTGAGGGACACACACCAGGAAGCCATGAACTGTGCCTAGGGTCTTCCTTTATGTTTCAAAGGACCCAATGCTGTCTGACTGAGGGAGCTTGAGATCTAGCCACTGCCTTGCTCTTGACCTCTGTTCCTCTACTCTTCCCCTTACTTGATTCCAGCCAAACTGGGCCTTTGAGCTCCTGGATCATACTCAGCTCTTTGCTGCCTCAGGGCCTTTGCACGTGGTGTTTCCCCTGCCTGGAACCTGAACTGGCTTACTCCCTCACAGTTTGCCTGGTTGGCTCTTGTATTTCAAGTCCTGGCTTAAATGTCTCCTTAGAGAAGCCTTCCTTGACTTCTCTATCAATAATGGGTCTCTCCTATTATTTCATTGCCCCTCAATCCATTCCCCCATAGCACCCCATTTTGTATTTATATGCCTGTTAAACATTTTAGTGTCTTTCCTCACTAGCCTGCGTGCCCCAAGTCTGGTCTTTCACCATTTGATTCCTGTTGCTTGGCTCATTGCCTGTCACATAGTAGCTGCATGATAAATATTTGTTGAATAAATAAATGAATCAGCCAAGATGTTGATAGTAGAACTAGCACCAAATCAGATAGGGCACAGATAAGCACAGAAAAATACACCCCAAGTCCAAAGCTCTGTTAAGAGGAATGTTTAATTAATCAAATATCTGGCCTGTGGAAACAACTGCCCTGGCCCAGGAGCCACAGGGAGCACAGGCTCTTAGGGTTATTTTTCAGTAGGGACATCAGGGGCCTCAGGACTCTCCCTCCCTCCCCAGACAGGGAAGCCGGTAAATTGAATGCAGTGTTGGTTTATGTGTGTGTGTATATGTACATTTGTTATGTGATTCAGCAGAAAGAAATTTAAAATAAGGAAAGAAAGATCACACAGGGTGGGGGTGTCTTCAGGCCCATCTGGGGGCAAGAGACATGAAATCTGGCATGCTGGAGCATTCCTGTCTCTGAGGTGGCAGGGGAGTGTGTTGGTAAAAGGAGCGGCCTGGTTCACATTCCAGCTTCATTCTCACTTCTCTCCTATGCAGCCTGAGTGGGGTATTTCACCTCTCCCAGCCTCACTTTCCTCTTCTGTAAACTGGGAATGGAAACAGAACCTAACGTAGTAGGTGCTCGGCAAAAGGGGATCTTGGTTGTGGGGCAGAGATTTAATCAGGCTCCTCCAAGACCTCGACTCGCCCTCATAATCACCCAAGTCCTTCACCTCCTTTATTAGTTTTGGCTTCTCACATCCCCTGACAATAGGAAGGTTGTATTCTGGATTCTGGCCTCTGGAAAGGTGTACGACTCATTTTAATGTGGACGGTGGTCAGTTTACCATTTGAGACTCCTAGCCAGCCGCTGCCCTCCCCAGCTGCTTTCTTGATACAGCAGGGTTAACTGGAGAAGTCACTTTCTTCTTGGAAACCCAGTTGTTCAACTGAAAAGTACGTAAAAACAGATCCCCACTTGGCCTGCTTAGAGTTTTGTGTGAGTCAAAAGCCAGGAAAGCACACTGCAGCCTACGAGGCTTTAATCCCGACCCTGAGTCTTGCAAACTTGCCTTCAGCATCTTATGAGCGGCCCTCCCTTCTTTGTGCCCCAGTTTCCCTATCAGTAAAATAGAGAGAGGACTACTGCCTCTTGCGAGAGGGCTGTAAAACTATGTCTTAAGAGTAATTGCTCTGGACGTGGAGCCTGAGAGATGCCTTGAGTTCTGGAAAAGGCTAAAGCCAGCGCTTCGCTTCCCCTGTGAGCACGGCTCCAGGTAAGCTTGGATGCCACCCCAGCTCTTTCCGGGTGGCAGGTAAAGCTGTGCCCTCTGCTGGCCAAGGCAGGAGATAAACCCTGGGAAGTGGGGAGAACCACGGTGGCTCGGGGAGGGATCTCAGAGAGTGGGTAAATGGAAGACGTTGGGTTCCTAGAAGGGTCTATATATCAACAAATTATTAGGAGGGGTAAAGAGTTACGATGTTGGTGCGGTGCTTGGGATGCCGAGGGAAGGACAATCTGCGGTGCGGTCGTTGGTTCCTCCCCTCTGGATTCAGGTCCATTTGGTTTGTCCCAGAGCGCTTGTCAACAACTTCGGAGGGGCCCTGGCGAGGAGCCTCCTGGGAAATGTAGTTCCTAGGCTGGCTTCCCGCACCGCAGCCCGGCACTCTTGGCGACGAGGAGACTCCATTTCCCAAGGTGCCTCGGACGCGGGGGGGCGGAGGGTCGCTGTGGCGTCGGGCCCGGGGCCGAGCCGGGGGCGGGGGCTCCGAGGCCCAGGCGCCCGTGGCCGTGGGCGGTCGTCCGTGAGGCCTGGTCCGGGCCATGTCCGCGTGAGGACGCTGCCACCGCTGCCTCCCTCGCCCTCGCCGCCCCGGCCCGGCCCGGCCCGCCGCGCACCATGGGCTCCATCCTGAGCCGCCGCATCGCGGGCGTGGAGGACATCGACATCCAGGCGAACTCGGCCTATCGCTACCCCCCGAAGTCCGGTGAGCGCGGCCCCCGGCCCCGGGCACGGACTGCGAGGCGCGGGCCGGAACGCGGGTCCGGCGGCGGGCGAGGGGACGGGGCGGCCCGCGCGGGGCCCTCTGCGGAGGGCGGGCTGGGGATCTGCTCGGCCCGCGGCCCTCCCAGCCGCCTGTCTGCCCGGAGCTCCGCGCGCCCGCCTCCCGGACCCCGGGGCGTGGATGGGGCCGCGGGCTGACTGCCCCGTCTCGGCCGGGTGACCTTGGGTCAGTCCTTTCGTCCCTCCGCGCCTCAGCTCTCTCGTCTGCTCACTGGGCAGACTCTCAGTAGGAATCTCCTAGGGCCGGGGGCAGGTTCTAGGCGCGACGCTTGGCTTTTGTGCTTACAAAGTGGTCATTGTCAAAAGAATTGACATCACACCATCGCCAGTTTTGGCTTGCTTTGGTAGCTTGGTGTGAAGACCCGGCCAGTGGTTCTGGACACTCTCTGCCTCATCTGGACAGACGCTTAGCTCTCCTGTGACCTCCTGGCTATGGAGGGGGGGTGGGTGGGTCCGGGGAGTGCCGCTGGGCCCAAGGAGACGATTGGAATTGGTGGGAGAGGGGCTGGGAGTCCTTGCTGGAAAACAGGAGAATGGTTGGAGGGGACCTACCAGGTTGTCTGGTCTCCTTTTTTTGTGGCTGAGAGACTTGAGCCACCAGGGAGGAAGTGACTTTCCCAAGGTCTCAGAGCTGGGTGGAAGCGCGTTTGGGACCAGGAATCTGACTCCCAGATGAGTTGTTCCCCCTCTCTTCTGCTGCCTGTAATGCTGCCTGTGGCCTGACTCCGAACTTTAGCTCCTGTTCCTCACTCTCCGTCTCCTCCTCGGTCATTTGCTGTGGAAAGGAGAGAAGAAAGAGGACAGGGATTTGCACGTCATGGGGACTTTCAGATTGGGTCTCTCTGATCCTGGCTTCTGAAGCACCTGTTCTGCTGCTGTGGTCTTCTAGGCCTCACAGTTGGCCTGCCGGCGTCCCCTAGGCCTCTGAGTGTGGTCCGGGACCACCTGCTCCCATCAGTGGGGAAGCTTGATAAACATGCATTTTCCAGGCCCAGCCTTGGACCTGCTGGCGCCTCGGAACCTGTTGCCCAGGTGAGGCCGATGTCCACCTAGGTTTGAGAACTGTCTTCCCCTGGTTTTGGACGGTGAAAGATGAGTGTCTGGGGCTACTGGAAATAAACGAGGTGGGGACTAGCACGCTTTGGGTGATGCTGACTGGCCGACCTTGCTAGTCAGTGGGGACACTCTTTCTGAGAGCCTTGGCTTGCTCTCAGAAGCCATGAACAAACACCCTAGTCAGCCATGACTAATGGATTGGGGCTGGCACCCAGGTGAATGCCATGGGCCACCTTGGTTTTGCTGCAGGTGACAGCAGTGTTCTGGACCTGTCCAGTCCAAAGGCTGTCCTCTCTGTGTCCTCGTGCCTCAACTACCTTGCTCAGGGAGGGTCAGTCGGAGGCAGGAGGCACTTTAGCAGGGTTTCAGTATGTTTCTCCAAGGCAGACTGGGGACAGCAGGGGGTTTGAGGCAATTTTAGAGGGTGCCCCCATGGACTGCTCAATCGCTTTATGAGAAAGTTGGTTTCTTTTCAAGTCTCTGTCAATTTTGTGGGTTGTATCAAGGAGAAAGAAGCACTGGGTGCCAGTTTTTTTTTTTTTTAACATCTCTGTAACGCCGTCCAGTTTTTTTCCAGCTTTCTTGAGATATAATTGACATATAACGTTGTGGAAGTTTAAGGTGTGCAGCGTGATGATTTGATATATGTATCTATTGGGAAGTGATTACCACAATAAGGTTAGTTAACACATCCGTCACCTCACAGTTAACTTTATTTTTTTTGGTAGTGAGAACTTTTAAGATCTCTTGTCAGAACTTTAAGCGTGTGCTGCAACAGTAGCTTGAATTTAATAACCTTTACTTTGTTTTCATTGTATTTACTTATTTAACTCCTAACAGCTTTATTGAGGTATAATTCATGTGCCACACAACTTATCCATTGAAACCATATGACTTGTTGATTTTTAGTACATTTATAGAATTGTGCAGCCATCAGCACAGTTGTAGACATTTCTGTCAGCCCCCAACGTTTCCTTGTACCTCTTTGCAGTCTGTCCCTACCCCGACTCCGTCACTAATCTGCTTTCTGTCTTTAAAATTTGCCCTTTCTGGACATTTCATATAAATGGAACTATGCAACATGTCCTCTTTTTGCGTCTGGCTTCTTTCACTCAGTGTGATGTTTTCGAGGTTCGTCCACGTTGCAGCGCGTGTCTGTACTTTATTGTAAGGATGTAGTACATTTTATTTATCTGTTTACCAGCTGAGGAACATTTGGATTGTTTGCGCTTTTTGGCTCTTACGCATAATGCTGCTCTGGACATCCGTGTGGCCCTGCTGAGTTCTTTGGGCTATTCACCTAGGAGTGGAATTGCTGGGTCCTCTGGTAACTCTGTGTTTAAGCTTTTGAGGAACTTTTAGACTGTTTTCCACAGTGGCCGCCCCATTTTACATTTATTCCTACCAGCAGCGTATGAAGGTTCTGATTTCTCTGCATCCTCGTTAACATTTATTGTTGTCTGTCTTTTTAATTATAGCCGTGCTAGTGGGTGTGAAGTCCTAGCTCACTCTGGTTTTGATTTGCATTTTCCTGATGACTGATGGTGTTGAACCTCTTTTCATGTGCTTATTAGCCATTTGTATATCTTGTGTGTGCGTGTAAGAAGTGTCTTTTTTAGCCTTTTATTCAGTTTTTAAACTTGGATCGTCTATTCTCTTATTGAGTTATGTGAGTTTTTTATGTGTTCTGGATACAGCTCCTTTATCAGTCCTGTGATTTGCAAATATTTCCTCCCAGTCTGTGGCTTGTCTTTTCATTTTCTTAATGGTGTCTTTTTGAGGAGCAAAAGTCTTAAATTTTGGTGAAGTTCAGTTTATCAGCTTTTTCTTTTGATGGTTGATGTTTTTGGAGTTATGTCTGAGAGATCTTTGCCTAGCCCACAGTCACAAAAATTTTCTTCTGTTTTTTTTCTTAGAAATTTTATAGTTTTCGCTCATACATTTAGGTCTGTGAACCATTTTGAGTTCATTTTTTTCAGGTATGGTTTGAGTAAAGATCTAAGGTCATTTTTTTGCATATGGAGTATTTATTTTGACGTGATTTGTTGAAAAGACTGTTCTTTCCCCATCAGATTGCCTGTGCACCTTTGTCAAACATCAGTTGACCGTTAGTGTGAGGGTTTATTTCTGCACTCCCTTGCCCCGGTCACACAGCTGGCCGGTCCCCAGCTGAGGGTCAAAGCACATGTCAGGACACCACGGCCAGGCTCTTAAAGAGAAGGTGGTGTCCGACATGCAGGAGAGAGCCCGGAGCGCAGTGGGCACCCGCACGGGGGGCCTGGCCCTCTGCTGCCACGCTTAGTCCTCCTACACTGTTGGTACTGTCGTGTGTTCAGAGCCGTGCCCCCCGGCCTGCCCTCATGTTTGAGGGAGGTCATGCTGGGACCAGGTCACCCAAGAGAAGTGTCAGATGGAGGGGCAGTCAGCCCTGTGACCCACCAAGCCCGGGAGGGGACTGTGCAGCCCTAAACCTTTTGCATATCAGGTGCGTGTACTTTCAGAGCACGTTCACCGCCTTTATCTTATTGGAGCTTTGCCGTGTCCTTGTGACACCAGACTTTTGTCCTCTTTGGTGGAGGAACTGGAAATCAGACTGAGTTTGTCTCCAAGCACCTGGGCCTGGTGCATAGTAGGCATTTAATAAGTGCTTGTGCAGCATTTTTATTGGAGAAAGCAAACCCCTCTCTCTAGTGTACAAGCTGCTCAGACTGGGCTGCCTCACATCCCTTGGGTGTCAGGCGGGGGTCTGAGAACCCCTGGGTCTGCCGCTGTCTGATGGAGGGGCCCAGGGCGTGTGCTCGACTTGCATGTGTGCTTTTGTGTTGATGGCAGTCTAGAAATATCTGCTGGTGAGCGCTGCCGGGCACTCACACTCCACACTCGTGTTGGGTTTACTCTTTCCGGAGTAGGGCCTTGCCCACTCTGACTTATTTGGCGCCTGAAGAAAAGATCCGAGGCAGGTGTTCTAGACAGGGGACAACATTCTGTGTCACTGAGGGTGTCGTCTGTCACTGGGGGCAGTCTGAGTTTGTGGGCCATCACTGTCCTGAGAGTGTGAGCTTACACTCTGAGACCCATGCATTGGTGGCAGTGGGATGGGGAGGTGGGGACAAGGGGCTCCACCTGCACACAGCGGTTTCCCCTTCCCGTGCCAAGACCTGCACCACCAGCGCTGGCATCGTGAGCAGAGATTCGGCTTCCCCAAGTGTCACCCCTGCCAGTCACATCAGAAGGAGTTCTGTGCTTCTGCTCCTGGTAACTTGGTTTGGATTTTATCGTTGTAGGAGCTGTATAAATAAGCTGTATTTTCCCAGCTTCAGCTGTTACATTTTAGGTAAAAACAACAACAGGACAACAGCTACAGAACAACTTTAAGTCGGCCGTGGGGGCGGGCAGCTGAGAACCTGTCGCCCAGAGCAGCGGCCCTGGTGGCTTGGCTTCAGGAGCCTGCCCGGGGCCCTGGGGCCCTGTGGCCACTGGAAGCCTCGATGTTGCAGTGTCGCCTGCCCTCGGGGTTTGAGAGGGCCCTGGAGCTCTGCGTGTTTGTCTCCGAGGTCCCCGCATCGGTCACTCAGTTCTGGGTGTGTCAGGGCGCCTTGACCTCGGGGACCTCGCGTAGATTCTCTGGGAGTTGCTGAGAAACCATCATTTTCCGATGACTCAAAAGTCACCTGGCTCTACATCTGCTCCTGCCTGCCTCGCCCTCCTCGGGCTCTGCGGAACTGTCACATCTGCCTGCTCTACGTTTCGGAAATGTGACAAAGGCTCTCTTGGCCCCTCGAGCTTGCACCCCTGCAGCCTGCTCAGCCGTGTTCCAGATAGAGAAAGCCAAGCTCGGGCTGCTCGGTGGGCCCCGGGCCGCTGGGG